TGGGAAGTTAGCCCATCTAGGAGAAGGAAAACTCTGATCCTAAACCTCTGCTGCCTTGTGGGATGGATTTAGGAGAATAAAAGGCTAAGGAGTAAATCCTACACAAATCTAAGATGGTTGGATGGTGCCTTGTACGCCTTGTTTAAGAGATTCCTGCAGCCAAGCTGGTGCCATATATACTGCTCTGCTTTCCTTTGGACCACACCAGCAAGGCCTAGGACCTCCATACACACTGCCCAGGCACAGCACCCTGGGGAGGTCACTTCAGTGCAGCTAATGCAGCGGTTTGACTTCACCCCCAGAGGTGCACTCCATTGTCTCTCTATAGACAGCTGCCAACAATCAACAATGTAGGACTTCAGTCGTCCCGTCCCCCCAAAGTGGCACTCCAATCCTGCTGTGTTGACGGGCCCTTCTACTCAATCTGCTGAATGGGGCTCCTTGACTTCTGCTCTGATGGCGCCACTGACAGCAAGAGTACCCTTGCAGTCCAACCGTACAGAAAACCTACCAAACTTCTTAAAAAGTAACCTGGATTGCCTCAAGTTCTGCAGTCCATCCCCACCCACAAACACACGGCCTTGCATTTTTTTTGCCAAATGCCCCTACAAACGGGAGGTTTGGAGGCACTTTAATCCTGCTGAGTTGTTAATTTTTAATAGATGTTTGAAAGCGATCCAAGAGAGAGCAAAACCCTTTCAAAGTGGTTAATATGGAATCAGGTCCCAGAATGACCTTTCATTAATGCCGGCTCCCTGCAGAGATGTCTGATTTCTGTAGCGCTGTGGCATTCTTAACAAACCACAGGAGAAAGAAAACACGGGTGTGCCCTCCCCCACAGCCCCAATTTAATGCTCTTTTACATCTCTCTGCAATTGTGACAAACTTCTGCTGCTTTGGATTCAAAATGCAAATACAGGAAGATTGTCAAAGAATAAAGGCACTGAAAAGGGGTTCGTCAGAACTGCTTCTGGTGGCAAATGAATAGTCCGATAACACAGGAAACTGTTCTCCCATTCCAACCCCAGCTGCCTTTCCCCCATTTCATCAGGAAACCTAGTTTTTGAGCCAGGAATTGCAAAGCAAAAAATAGTGGGTGGGAGAAAGGTTAAGTACCGTATTTTTTGCTCTATAAGATGCACCAGACCATAAGACGCACCTAGTTTTTGGAGGAGGAAAACAAGAAAAAAAATATTCTGAATCTCAGAAGCCAGAACAAGAGGGATTGCTGTGCAGCAATTCCTCTTGCTGTTCTGGCTTCTGGGATAGCTGTGCAGACTGCATTCACTCCATAAGACGCACACACATTTCCCCTTACTTTTTAGGAGGGAAAAAGTGAGTCTTAAAGAGCAAAAAATACGGTACCTCTCCCATCTGCTTCTACCCTTGTTGCATGGGGGGGGCACTGCTGCCTTGGGAATCCTCCTTTTGCCACAAATTGAATCCCTCCCTTATGAGTCACTTATAAATTCAGTGGACTCCAGCTCAAATTTTCTGGGGAAGCAGCAAGGCAAAAGTGTAACAAGCAGAGAGTGGACAGAGGCCAAAGAGGATGAAACTCCTACACCTTTAATAGTTGTATGGAAGAGGGACTCGTTGAATGTGCAGGAGCCCCATCTTTCTTGGTTTCCCACCAATAGATGAAAATAAAATCTCTTTACCTGGAAATGTCCTGAGAATTCCAGCTGGTTTGGCTTTTTGCTCAGTTACTTCTCACCAGTCCTCCCAAATACGACAGGGTTTACTTAGGTTTTCTACTGTATTCAGCACAGGTTACTTCCCAAGTAATCCGAATCCTGGCTTTCACAGGCTTCCTTTTTTCTTCCCGTGCCAAGCAGTGGGGTGAGGGAAAGGGCTTGTGGGTAGCCTAGTAGCACTAACTATTGACCGGACCTGCCTAAAGGCCTGTGGGATGTTTGCCCATGGGGCTATCTGTAGGCAACCTTCCTAATAGCTAATGCTCCAGACAGTTGACTCTGATCCAGAGAAGGGCAAGTGCGTCCCACTGCTTTTCCAGACTGACAGAGTTGCATGCTCTGCCAGAAGGCAGGAGAAAATCTTAAATACATTGTCACGTGCAGGGCCGAATTTACGTATAAGCTAAACAAGCTATAACTTAGGGCCCCACTCTCTTGGGGGCCCCAAAAAAATTTAAAGGAAAAAACCAACTGGATGTACATTTCCAAAAATAAGATAAAAAAACCAAATAAAATAAAACCTACATACGGCAACAGTGTTTTGTGTTGTGTAGGCTCCTATGATGTAAATAATGGGCTCCACCTGCTCCCTAAAATATTACTGGTTTGCTCATTTATACATATAGGGTGCCTAAATTCTGCATGTGCAAATGGCTTTAGATACCTATTAGGTCCATAATTTACCATATAGCATATATTCAACACAAAAAACAGCGACAAAGGACAGCTGGACATATAAAGGGCCCCATTACCTTTAGTAGCTTAGGGCCTCATCAAACCTAAATCCGGCCCTGGTCACGTGCAAATGGTCATGTGAAAGTTGCACACTCAGGTTTTGGGGAAACTCACTTTAGAGCTGGACAGTGGTGATACACATTCAACAAGGTTGGGCTGAATGCAGTATCTATGGGGGCAAAGTGAGAAAGAACAGGCCTCTTGTGCCTCTGACAGTTTTGTAGAGGAGGCAATTTCAGGAGGCGCGGGTTCGAAATCCCCTCATGTACACAACTATTATAAGGCGCAGGACCCTAAAATTCTTCAGCATACTAGAAAACTGTGTTTGAAAGGTGGGAATAGAAACAACCAAAATTGACAAGAATGGAGCACTGGTTAATTTGGGGAAGGGGTTATAAGTGCTGAGGTGGCGGCAGGATCGTGGCAGTTGCATATCAAGACCTTCAAACTTTGCCTCATATCGGCTTTACACATACAGCAGCATTCAGGAGAGTGGCTGAACCACTTCGAACTTTAGGGGTGGTGGTGGCAGGAATACTGTTTTTAAAGCTAGCTGAAGGGGGTTGGGAATCCCTGCAAGTAAAAAGCAGCCAGTATTAGTGGGGAGAACAGTTCCAGCCCTAGTCTGCTCCTTGCCATTCTCATTTTCCACGTGCAAAGTGGTGTTTTGTTTTTCACTACAGGCAAGTATTCACCCACAGTCTGAAATGGAAGACTCCATTGTGCCATCTCAGAATTCCAGTACCTCAAGATACTGTGGAGCAGGCCTTCTGAGGGGAGGTTGGAATTGTTATTCCAACATGGAGGTTGTGTCTCCTTAGCAACGCAACTGTGAAAGAGGAAGGCAACTGAGACTTCTCCTGACCTTTTCCTCTCCTGGTCCTTCCCTGCCCCCGCCCCCCCCCCCATGAGTACCCTAGTTCACTGTGGAGCAAAAAATAAAATAAAAATAAACGAGTTTAGTCCAGAAGGGGCAGCACAGCAATGGGGATGTTAGACGAGTGGTATGAGATGCAGCCTGACTGTCCCAACATGAGGGAGTTGTGGAGCCATACTTGACACAATGTGTCTTCTTTATTATCATTTTACACAAGGGGTGAGGAACCTTTCACAGCAAAAAGCGGGTGGGGCAAAGCATGGGACTTGGCACATGACATTGTTCCTTCTATTCTGTGCTATCTCCCCCTTTATTTCTGATGTATAGAGAGAGAATGCTGCTGTCCCGTATTTTTCTTTCCAGCACCTATGGCAGAATGTAATAAGATTTGCAGATGAGCATCTTAAACTTGTGTATGTGTTTGTGTTTTGCACAGTCCTAAAATAGCATAAAGGGACGCGGGTGGCGCTGTGGGTAAAAGCCTCAGCGCCTAGGGCTTGCCGATCGAAAGGTCGGCAGTTCGAATCCCCGTGGCGGGGTGCGCTCCCGTTGCTCGGTCCCAGCGCCTGCCAACCTAGCAGTTCGAAAGCACCCCCGGGTGCAAGTAGATAAATAGGGACCGCTTTCTAGCGGGAAGGTAAACGGCGTTTCCGTGTGCGGCTCTGGCTCGCCAGAGCAGCGATGTCACGCTGGCCACGTGACCCGGAAGTGTCTCCGGACAGCGCTGGCCCCTGGCCTCTTAAGTGAGATGGGCGCACAACCCCAGAGTCTGTCAAGACTGGCCCGTATGGGCAGGGGTACCTTTACCTTTACCTTTAAAATAGCATAATGCTGAGAAAATGCTAATCCACAGCAGTGTTTTCCTGCCACATTTTACTGTGGTAGCCTTAAATGTTAATAAAAGTCATGAGTGTTTTCTTTGTATTTCATTGTATAGTAGGCCTCATTCCAACTAGGCAAAAATTACGGGTTCTAATTACCAGGCAAATACAAGGCCATGTTCTACCCAGGCCACAGCACTTGAGGGTGCCATGGACACCCGAACCCTGCTTTTAAGTGTAAATAAAAAATGTTGGTGTTTCAAATCATGGATCTCCTGTGTGACATTCATACAGAGCGGGCAGTCAGGACAGAGTCTTTACTTACCTCATTTGTTTGCAAGATCTAGGCCCCAAATCCCTCCATTTTAGATCATTTAACAGAATTAATGAAAGCAGGAAATTTTCCACTGAGTTGTTCCACAGCTGCAAGGCAATGACAAATGGAGTTTGCCTCAGGGCCACCATGGCTGCCGAGAATGACATTTGTGTCTGCTACCAGAGCTGAATCGTTATTTACCCAGAGGTGGGATTGTACAGTACCGGGCATGGTACAATTATTTTGGGGATGGAAGTAGTTTTAAAAACACACAGGTGAAAAGCCTGCTCTGGTTGTAGTAGCAAGACCTTCCCAGGTGAGAGACGGAATAATTATTCATTTATTGCATTTATATCCCGCCTTTTCTCCACAACAACCCTGTGAGGTGGGTTAGGCCGGAAGGCAGCAAGCGAAAATTAGAATCCTGGTCTCCCAGGTCTTAGTTCCACACAGTATTCACTGCACTTGTCCATTAGCATATCAGAGATGGGGCAGGTATCTTATATGTATGTTTGGCAGTGATCCTTTGCATATTGGTTGTAATATTGTGGAGCATGAGTGGTTGGTTGCTAATTTATGTGGTAGTGAATGACTGCAGTAGTTGTGGGGAATGGATTGTGAAGGTGAGACTGGGTGCACATTGCATTAACTGTGTTTTATGCAGGTTGGGATTTTGCATTCTGCTGCCCTGCAGTGATCTCCGTCTTGATTTCTATGTATATTGTGTTTCTGGATCTAGTGATAGCTTATGTATTTGTAATTTTTTCTCTCCTTGTAAATCGCCCAACGTTGTTTTTATTGTACTTTGTCCTTGTGTTCATCTGTGGTACTTTTAATTTATTGCAAACCACTTCAAGATCTCCAGATAGTAAATGGAAATAATAAAATGACTAAATGACTATTGTCCTTGCCTTCCAAAGCTTTTCAAAAAAAAACAAAAAACAACCCTGTTCCTGTTTCAAGCTCAAAACTGCATGCGATCCTTCCATGTGGAAGGATCTAATTACATTTTAGATTAGAGGATTAACGCCTCTTTGATTCCTGATGCCACACTTCAGAGGATCACTCGAGAGAGACTAATCCAAATTGAATGAACTCCCTTAATAGACTCCCTCCACCCCAATCTCCTCCTCCTCTTTTTTCATTTTCCTTTGAAAGTGACAAAAGTTGTCACGGTTTCGCTTTGAAACCCCCGTGGGTTTTGTTTGCAAGCCTCCTCCCTTTCCCCCAGTGATCTGCCTCGCGTGTCTCGTCCTCCCCCTGCGCCCCAAGCTCAGCAATATAAACAAACCAACCTCCCTGCCTTTGACTTGCTCATTCGCACGTGCTCTCCCCGGAGTAAAAAAAGAAAGTGGGAGGGTGTGCTTGCAAATCTAGAGGCATTCAGATCTCCCAATCGGAGCTAAAATGAAAGAGCTCCGCTCTCAACAGCAGCCCCTAGGGTGGGCCGGTTTTGAAACCGCCAGTCCGTTGAGACTCCCTGTCTCTTGGCACAAGGAGGGGAGGGAAGGAGGAAGGGCGCCGGCTCGGCAGCAAGCGAACTCTTCGCAGCCGGCACTTGCTGTCTGGGCTGCCCCCGATCAGCAGCTCCTCGGTAGATCCGGTTGCCGCGATCACGTCAGGGCAACGTTGGAGCGCCGCCCGCCGCCTGGACAGGGGCGCCCGCGGCGGCGCACAAGAAAGCGCTAGGCGCTTGGAGACGCCTTGGCGAGCCTCCCGGCGGGGCGTGGATCCGGCAGCGGCGGCGCTTGGCCGCCAACGCCCGCGAAAGGAGGCGCATGCTGGTGCTCAACGTGGCCTTCGACCGTCTGCGGAGCGTCGTGCCCGCGCTGCGAGGCGAGCAGAAGCTCTCCAAGGCGGAGACCTTGCAGATGGCCAAGATCTACATCTCCATGCTGAGCGAGCTGGTGCAGGAGGTCGCCGCCGGCGCGCCGGGGAGAGAAGTGGCAACCCAGGCTCCTGCGACGCCACCCGGAAGCGACGGGAACCGATCGCCTCCCGCTGCCTTCCCAGGATCACCAAACTGATCCTGCGTAGCAGGGACCTGCTGCGGCGGAGCGGATCCCTGCCCCACAACCCTTTGCAAAAACTGCTCTCGCAAGGAGAGGGGCTTATGCCTAGACAAGCGCGCAGGACTTCGGCTGCAGCCTTCTCCGGCCGGTCAAAAACCCCTGATCTGCATCAGTGTGCAAACATAAGAGGGTTGTTTTTGTTTTTTGGAAGGGGGGGGGCAAAAAAAATGAAAGTTTGACTTGAAAAGGAGGGGGTTGCTTTCTGGATAGACAAGACACGCTCGTTCGGGGAGCGACTCCTCTCTCTCTTCCGTGTTTATATTATGTGCATGGGCGGCGTTGTACAAATAGGATTAAGCTTGGGGTAGTAAAAGCACTAGGGAGGGAGCCCCACTGGAGAGTGGATCGTACTGCGTTAGGATTGCGCTGCTAAAGTGCGATTCTATCAACCCGTTAGATTTGTAGTCCAGTCCAGATCCTAGTTTGCTGGAAGGGATCCCCATTGACTTCACCAGGACTTCCTTCCGAGTAGACACTGTTGGGCTTCCATTGCTACTTAAGGGTGAGCCCCATTTAATTAAATTGGACTTCTCAGTAGATATGTACAGGGACGCTTGCACCTGGGCATTAGAAGCATTGTCTTAAGAACACCCAGGGAGCATCTTCCTTACCTTAGCCTGTAAAGCAAGATGACAGTGAAGTCACTGGGTGGGTCTCAGCCTTAAGCCAGTGACAAAATGTTCACTTTGTTTGCAATGTAATTAAAGGTTTGTAATGATGGCAAGCTGCTGGTGCATGTCTGCTTCAGGGGGAAAGGCAGAAGCTGTACAAACCCTGTATGTTTTACTAAGAGCCTTAAAGCAGCATGAGTAACAGTAGGATCCTGCACATGTCCACTCAGAAGTCCCCTTGAATTCAATGGGGCTTACTCCCAGGTATGTGTGCATAGGATTGCAGCCTTTCTTAACCATGAAGTTGCAAAGACATCTGTCTCCTTCTATCACTTGCACAGTGGTGTCCAAGATTTGATGAAGTGAAGGGCCGACCAAAGTTGAGATTTTTTTAGGGTTGAAGTTGTTGAAGGTGGGGTTGTTGAAGGTGGGTTTCAAAAATAGTGGGTTTCCCCCAGAATGCACAACCTTCTCTTCCAGCCTTCACTGTAATCTCTTCCCGGTTAATTAGCTTAAGCATCCTCATCACACAATGCACAATTAGCTTATCACAAGAGACAGGGAAAGGGGGTTGGACTAGATGACCCTTAGGGTCCCTTCCAGCTCTATAATTCTGTGATTCAAATGGCCTACCTTTGATGGCCAGAAAGGTCAAGACAAATTTAAGGATAGCTCTATCACAAGGGTGGGGAGCCTGTAGGCGTTCCAGATATTGCACATTTGCCAACAATTGGCTACGCTCTTTGGGGTTAATGGACATTTGAGTCCAACCACACCAGGTTCCCCATTGCTGGCCTTGTTAACAGCTGTCACTGGTGTTGGAGAACTTACATACAGGCTGTATAACTGACATGCAGATGTGAGAAAGCGGACAAAAGGGCATGTTGCTGGCATGCCCTGCATAAAAGCTTCCTAGGCCCAAACTAGGCCAGTCTTATACACACCTACCAGGGAGTGAATTTCTGAGATGGAGATCGTGATGGCATTTTAAAAGCCTCTTATAAACACATCTTTACTTAAGCTTTTCTTAACTCTTGACCCTTGTACACCACTCAGTTTTGGGACAATACAGCTGCATTTTCTCTTTATGTCTCTGACACACACTTTACCCCTCAAATAATCCTGTAGTTTAAGGGATGCTGGGAATTGTAACTGTGAGGGGTAAACTACAGTGCCTGAATGTGAGGTGCCTGAAATAATGTGTTTCAAATGTGCTGTAAAGGTACACTGTTTATATACCGCCATTGGAAGGAAATTGCATTGAATATTGTTTTATTTTTATTATTAAACCCCTTCAAAGAGATTATTATATTATGCAGACTATGTTTTATATAAACATAGACGCAATGGAGTTTACTCCATGCCAAACATGTATAGGCTAGTGCTGTTAGTTACTGCTTTTAGAAACAAAACAAAATTAAATGGATCTCTGACTCAGGCAACGTGTTCTTATGTTGTTAAATGTGATCATGAGCATCATTAGCTCAACGTTCTTCCGTTTGTCAGCAAAACACAGTGTTTTCGTGGCATGTCCTGGGTGCAATTACACAAATTGTATTTTTAAAAGATTAAATCCGGATTACTGTTTTGAGTATATGGAGTAGAGTGGAGGAAACCTGCCAATGCTTACTGTTGTTTAGAGCAGTGTTTCCCAACCGGTGTTCCGCGGCACACTACTGTGCCGTCAGACATTGGCTGGTGTGCCGTGGGAGGGAGGCGGGCGAGTCGGGCGGTGAGAGGCGGCGGCGGCGAGGATCCGCGTCGAGCCGGGGGCGGCTCCGCGGTGGTGGTGCCGAGCGGCGGGGCAGCGCGTGCAAAAGGGAGGAGCGCGAGACAGCGGAGGAGGAGGAGGCCGGCATGTCCGGGCAGCAGCAGCAACAACAGCAGCAGCAACTCCCGGCGACGGCTCCTCAAGCCCCGCCGCCGCCCCCTCCTCCGCCCGCTATCGCCGCCACCACCACAACAGCCGCCGCCGCCTCAGTTGCCGCCGTCCCTCAGTCCCTCGCTCTGCTGCCTCCTCCCACCCCCAAAGCTTGGAGGTTCCCCGGCAAGGGGGAGGGAAAAAACTTTCACTTTCGTGCGTCCCTCCCGGCGTGACGCTGCGCGCTGACGTCACGGGGCGGGGCTTTAATGGTGGTGTGCCGTGAGATTTTTTTTCAGTAAACAGGTGTGCCGTTGCCCAAAAAAGTTTGGGAAACACTGGTTTAGAGTGCAGTTCCCATCAACTCATCTGGCTGAGGCCTTTAGGAGTGGGGGAGTCCAGCTTCAACTAGAGGACCACAGGTTCTCCATCCCTGGTCTAAAAGGTAGTAAATAAATTAATCACTGAAATAATTTACAGGTACAGATTAGAGATGGGCAAATATATCCATTTCAGTTCTACACGTTTCTTGCCTTAAATTTGGTTTGCTCCATGTCCATGTCTGCATTTTTAAAAGAAATCTTCAAAAAAGTTTGCGTGTCTTTTCATGTTTTTGCAAGCAATTTCTTGTCTTCTGGGTTTCTGGGGGTTTTCCTGTTGTTATTCTGTCTCACAGCTACAATAAACCTACCATTAAAATTATGGACTGGTCATTTCTTCGTCAGAGGGCAAACGGGCAAATTTAGCAGGGGATCAAATACTTTTTCCCCTCACTGTACACCCTCCTCTTGTCACAAGACAGAAGTACAGTCTTCTCAAACTCATCTTCAAATCCATTATTCTCAAATGGCTTACTACATTTGAGACACACTGCCCAAATATTATACTGTTGCCACATCAAGCCTTAGCCTTCTAGAAATTTGGGGTAGCAAGAATGTTTTCAAAGAAAATCAGAAATGAATTAGAGAAGCTACTTGCTTTTATTCTATTAAGATAATAAAGGTCCTTCAAAACTGCTGAAGGTGGCATTTCCTAGACATTGTTCCAGTTAAGTGGATTTTCTGGAAGTGCTTATACTTGCCTTCTGAACGCTGTGTCGCTGTCAGCATATTTTCAGAAATAATCATTGTGCATTAAGAGACGAAGGAACAGAGGATGTGAAAACCACTTGGAGTCCCAAGTGTAATAATTTCTGTTAGAAGTCCAAGTAAAAATGGAAAGCCAACATTTCACTGCTCAAGGGAAAAATAATTTCGATTTCAGATATTTAGGAGCCATTGCACAACACTGCTGTGAGTCAAGAAGTTCAAGGTGCAAATTTTGCCTCTCTTCCCTGGGTGACAAGCCTTTACTTTTTATAATGAATGATTTTAGAATGTTGTTTATGCTGTACTTTTGTACTGTTTTATTGTTGTTAGCCGCCCTGAGCCCGGCTTCGGCTGGGGAGGGCGGGATATAAATAAAAATTATTATTATTATTATTATTATTATTATTATTATTATTATTATTTATTTATTTATTTTTGTAATAGTGGTGTCTGTGCGTATGTCTTTTTATTGTTGCAAATGGCTTTAGATGGGCTTTGTCTCCATTAAAGGAGAACCTTGTTGTGAAGCCTTCACCTACTTTCTTGGCAGCATCTAAGGACGCTGCATGGGGTAATAGGGATTTCCATAGATGCTGGTAGAGCTCTGTTCTTCCAAGGCAGGTGCAGACACTGCAAAGAGTCACTGTGGGTCTAACCAGAGCTCTGTGTGTGCTGCTCTGGGGTGAAGTATTACAATTTCAACCCAACACCAGAATGTCCAGGAAAACATTCTACCTATCTCAGGGGACGGGTGTTATTGTAACTTTACCTTGCAGGTGCAAATAATTATTAACCATTCACTCTTATCTGCGCATCACAGGGTAGGTTGATATAAATCTTATCAGGCCCTTGTACAGAAGGAACCATTATATAAGCTAATTTCAAGACTGCATGATTACACCTCATTATTACTGCTGAAGAGCAGATCTACAGTACCAGAAGCACTTCTAGTGCTTCCAGAAATAAGCCATTATTAAGGCATTAGCACAAACACGTTAATTTATCATGCAGATAAAGCAGCTTCTCTCACCATGCGTGCCCAACATAGCCCTGGCAGCTTGCATAAGCTTGAACCAAAACTGCAATGTTACCGGCAAGTAAGCTTTGAACTGGCCTTGCTCTTTAGTTAAAAAGAGCTTTCCAGTCAGCTTGTTTGGGGCCATTTTCTAGACAGGTGTGTATAAATTAGTGTCAATGTTTCACTGAAATGAACTAGGACCTTTTGTTTAAATTAAGGCTTGAATTGGGCAGTTCAACCAAAGTTTTTCATAAGGCCCCTGCCATGAATTAAGCTTGATCTCAATTTTAGGCATTGAACAACTTGAAGTCTACATATTTTGACATAAAGATGAACAAACCACTAGGTGTCTTGCTTTTCGTGGCAGCTGTAACTACCAGGGTGCTATGTGCATAGGATTTTTCTTTGGTGGGGTAAAAGAAGGGAAATAGTGTATTTTTTGTTCTTGAGCAAATTTACTCGTCTGCTGAAATTGCATATGGCTAGCCCATCACATGTAGAGCATCACTGTGAGCTTGTCCGTAGCAATGCCTGTACACTTTGTACCATAGTCAAAACAAAACAAAATCCTTCCAGTAGCACCTTAAAGACCAACTAAGTTAGTTCTTGGTATGAGCTTTCGTGTGCATGCACACTTCTTCAGATGTGTACACATCTGAAGAAGTGTATGCACACGAAAGCTCATACCAAGAACTAACTTAGTTGGTCTTTAAGGTGCTACTGGAAGGAATTTTTTTTGTTTTGACTATGGCAGACCAACACGGCTACCTATCTGTAACTGGAACTTTGTACCATGTACAACTGCATTCCATAGCGCTCCTGGTTATTTCAATTTGAGTCTCTGAGGCCTCACTGGCCACAACTAGATGTCAGACAATCTTCCGCTTCAATACAACAGCAGTGGGGAACTTTTAGCCTGGCAGTTCATCCCAGACCACTGGCCATGCTTGCTAGGGTTGATGGGAGATAGGATCTAGGATCTAACATCTGAATTAACCACTTCAATTCAGCAATGACCAGCCCATTAATGCATATGAAAACGATGGTAGACAAAGCTAGATAATAATACCATAGAACTGTAGACTTGGAAGGGACCAAGAGGGTCATTTAATCCAACCCTTTACAATGCAGGAATCTTACACCCAAACCCATGACCCTCAGATTAGGAGTCTCATGCTCTACCGACTGAGCTATCGTATAAACCTAAAGCCTAAATACGAAAAAGTTATATATATTTAAATTGATGCTAATGCAAGAGGTTGTTCTTTGCTATTGGTATCTAACACTAAATCTAAACAAGATTTTTAAAAGCCTTATTTCGATAGAACAAATTTAATATTAGCATGCAAATTGAAATATTGCATACTTTCATTCATTAGCCACTCAATTCTCAGAGATTTACAAATAAACCTGAATGCACATGAACATACTAACAGCATACCATGAGATGATAAAAGAAATTGGGTTTAACACACAGGTCAATTCATCTCGTTTCCGGTGAAAGCAGTTTCTAGCAGTTGCATATACAATGCATGCGGAGTGACCTCAATACTTACCTCCAGCAGAGCTACTTGTTTTTATCATTCAAGTTATCCATAAGTAATTACTGCATAACTGGCATGGATACCTTTTTGAAGCCCAAAAGCATGTGTTGGCTACCAGATGGGTGCTACTGGCTGAAAAAGATAACTGACTCTTATTAAAATGTTAGTACTTATGAAGGAAATGGCCCACTATCTAATCCAGAGCTTTCCAAACTTTTCGTGTTGGCGACACACTTTGAAGACAGGCATCATTTCGCAACACAGTAATTCACTTTTACTAGCAAACCAGAGGTTAAACTAATTCCATATAAGAGATATGGGCACATATTGCGCGGCACACCTAAACACTAGCTGCCACACTAATGTGTGGCGACATGCAGTTTGGAAAGCTCCGATCTAATCTCTAGCACCCCAATGAGAAATACTCTTTTACCAATGACACTCCAATTATAACAGAAGTGGACAATGACATGGGATTCTCTCATATTGATTGTGGAAGCACAACACAGACACCATGGTGCCGCTGCCACAAACAGCTATGGGGAAGCACTCTTGTCAATCTTTAATCTACCCTGGGTAGTTGTTCTTTTAATAACAGTTTGATCTGCAGCAATTACCAAATGATAAAATGTTTAGCACCAGCTGTTAGACAACCCAGGCCAAGTTCATTTTCTGATCACAGAATGGCATTCATAGTTAGAATAATTTCAAGATGGCAGCCATACCACTTGCTGCTTCACATTAAAGGTCATGGGTAGAGTCTCCAATAGCAAGAAACTATGCTCATTACATGTATGTTATGTATTGAAAGTAGCAATTTTTATTCGAGTTAAAATTATTTACAAAAACCAAAAGACATACTTCATGAAACTGGTACAAACTATTATTCCTGCCGTTGGCTTTTGCTCCAAATATCACAGCTGAGAAATACTGTATAAAATAAAAATAGGATTGGATTCAGAAAAGTACTCTACTGTTCTAGTTTCCAATTGCGCTTATTTACATATATATTTACAGTGGAAAAAAAGTTACTTTAAAACTTTTAAATGTGAAGGTTGGCCTCAAGTACCCATTTAATGCAGAGCCTGATGAGGTTTAAAACAAGAAAGCACACTGCAGCTTGCAGGGTGGTTTCCTGACCCTCTCTCCAAAAACCAAACAGTCTGCATGTTTCAGTGCTTGCCAATTAAGAAATGCTCAACACGACGAGTTTAACCAATTCCGATCCAGGTCATTACCAGTGTAACAGAGAAGTGTGGCTCCTGATTCCACCTCATCACTGCATCTATTTTTAATCATCCCCCGTCATTGCGCATACAGAAAAAAAGCCTAACTTAAATCTATATGAAATCCAACTAAAAATGAAAGCCATTGCTCTAAGTTGTTAAAACTAAATGCCAAAAAATATATCCAGTAAATCCTGCATCTCAGAAATAATTTACAAGTACAGCTTTACTAAGTTGCTCTTCCTCTCATAAGGAAGCTCTATCCAAGGGAAAACATAACCTCAGCATTTTTTTTTCTAAGTTACACTGGTAGATTGTAGGGGGGTAGTTTGCTTAATTAAGATGTTAAGGAAAATAAAAATAAAAAAGCAGGACCAATATAGGATTTTGCTTCTAATCAGTCACTTCCTTACCAAATTCCCAACAATCTGCATTATCAAAAATAGGAAGACATAGAAGGCAGCCACTGTATGTAAAAAATTTACAGCTGGCACTGATACAAAAGCACAAGTTTGTAAGTTTATACATGGAGATAACACAAGATCTAAAAAGCAGGTTAGATTTTCTGTTATTTCTCCCACCCCTCATTATACACAGAACTAATATTTTTATGGCTTCAAGTTTTACAAATTCAATGAAGTAACATGATGCAACTAGCTACACAGGTAATGTGGAAAGTGTCTGTGATGCAAATGTCTCAAAACATTTTGTGAATAATTCAAGACCAGCTTAATAAAAACCATGAGCAATTCTGTCCATCGGAACAATGAGTGCGAGAAGTCACTAATGTCCAAAACCTCTTTTACAAAAGTATTTAGCAGGGATTTTTGTTCCATTAAAGTCTCAACACAATCCTTTGCTGTGAACTAGAACCCCATACTGAACAAAATCTTCACTATATTCAGCTATTTAAGGCTTTGTATTGTATGCATTTACCTGCGCCATACTAGAGAAGAAATAGAAAGATTATGTCAACTGGAAACATTAATCCCCACTGGTGTTTTAGCTCCACATTTCTTCCTTGAAACAAAAACCAACTGCTTCTTTTCCTTTCTTTTTTGTGCATCATGAAGTGTAAACTCCCCTGGCATTGAACATTTTTTTCACATTGTCCTTTTTAAACAGGGTGCTTTACAATTCCTGCATTTCAAAGAAATACAGACAGCCACCAGCTGGGAGGGGATTATTATTTCTTCTTCTTCCTGCATGCCTCTCTTAGAGCTATGAAGTGTTATGGTCAATCAGTTTACAGTACGTAGGCCACGACAATTTTAAGAACTGAGTAGTTTCCAACAACCCAATTTTCAATCAAAACAGTATAAAAAATAAACTATCCAAGCCTCAACCTCTTTGGATTCCAACACATTTTAAATATAGACAGTAGTTAAAATCACAAAAAGTATTTAAAATTTTTCTATTTCTTATGATTTTGGAATAATCTCTTTAAAAAGCAAGAGCAAATTAAACTCAAATCAGAGCAATGCTGCTGCCCAGAGCATCTTTATTAGAAGATTTTTTGATACCTCAGTAGCTAAAGCTGCCTTTGCACCTGGCTGGCATGAAAAACAGTGGCTCAACAGTAAACAGCAGTTGCACTACCAGCAGCAAGTTTTCCCCTTTAAAGTTGTCACAAACAAAGCCAGAAAAATAAAGAGGGAGAGTAAACCCTGCCAAATATATTTAAATACTGCACTGCATTATTATAAACATAATGAATTCTTGATTTACTTTCCTCAGATATTTCCCCCCTAATTTTTGATAGTTGCAGATTGATGTGGTGGTGAACTGTCTCTCGGAAAATGCTGAGTGTATGGTGAAGAGACCAGGTAGCCTTAAAAATCCAAACACGAATGAGACTGATGAATGCTCTTGGTGGTGCTTCCTCGAGGACTTCTTTCGCGACTTCCTTCCTTTATCGGAGGGGTAGAGCTCCAGCATTCAAGTGCCTGCGGCAAGACTCGAGTTTCTAGCAGTGTTCCAAGTATTCAATCACTCTAGAGATAGTTTTCTGGCCTGTTGTCCCAACAGCACACTGGGAAGGAAAGGGGGTGTGGAGGGAAACAGGGGACGTTTATTAAACGTTTAAGATGCATTTTCCCACCTAATTTAAGGATTATGTGACAGCAGGTCACAGTCTGGAATGCTATGTTACATCAACCTAAGTAGCAGCAGTTCCCCATTTACAAGCAAAGCGGTCTATTTACAAACAGTGGTCTGTAATTTATAATGTCTCAGCCTTAGAAGAAGCCATCATTTAACATCTGCTGTTATTTAAATAAATTTGCAAAAAACAATCTTGCAACACCAGAGAGATTTGCTGCAGCTGCCACAGCTGATTTGGTTGAAGGTGATCTTAGGTATTTTTTGGGGGGGTGGGATTTGACTGCTTCACAGACTACAATAGAGGCAAGTCTAGTGGTGTCATTTGGACAGATGGAAGAGGATAAGTCACTTAACCTGCTCACTGTTAACCCCATTAAGTGGGGTGGGTGGGACAGGGGTTACAGTTCCTTGACAAGTGGAAAACTGCCCCACCAGAGAGAGAAATAACAAGGAGCTGTCACTCCAGATTATCTTCCTATGCCTGCCCTTCTATTCCATCAGGGCTTGTAGAAGACGGGATGATATTGACTGGTACATTACTGAGTTATTTACAGTTGATCAGCAAACTTTTCCATATCAATGAAAAGGCTTCTCAATTAGGCTGATGATGATGATGATGATGATGATGATGATAATAATAATAATAATAATAATAATAATAATAAAATAATAATAATAATAATAATAATAATAATAATAATAATTTAAAAAAACAACATTTGGAGAGGAGAATCAGGATTTTTGCACCAAAGGATTGTGAGCTCAGTTCTGCCACTGCCAACATATATCCTCAGAGGTGCTCTGTGCAGGTTATCTCACAAAGCAATTTTTTGCACCTGGCTCTGAGTGGTGTACCTCCGGAGTTCCTAGTAATACATACACATACACACACACACAGCAAGCTTGCCTACCCTTCCATAAGATGACAGGCATACTGGCATAACTCATCTCAAGCATTTTGATCTGAAACACCAGACAAATAAGCAATTGTAATATACTACTTACAGTAAGGTTCATGAAACTGAGAAACTTTTTCAGCATTTCTGTCATGATTGAGAAATCCCCTTCAGGCAAGTATGTCCTCACAGTAGTCACATTGATCTAAGGAAATAAATGCAGAATTAGGAAGTTTCTGACAAGGCAATTAAATTGACTTCCCAACACGACGCTAGAGTAACCAACCCACACATTTATTCTCTTTTCCTGCTCGACATACATCTTTCTTATAGTATGGGCACAATGTCAGAAACCTATCTGAATTTCTTACAAGGCCTTGACACAACGTTACCAAACCTTTAGTAGTTGACAGTTTTTCAGTAAAACACAAGAGCTTCCAAGTCACAAATCTCAACATTTCGTGAAAGTTGGAAGCAAACCCTGAGCCTTAATGGAAAAGCCAGAGCCCCTTCTTGCCCCTTTCCAGTTGCACACAACCACACAACTACTGAAATAATGTAACACACAGGAAAATAAAAAGGAGAGAATATCAAGCATATATAAAGACCAACCCACAGGATTAGTTATTCCCATTCTCTGAAGAATGTCCCTTCAATATTTAGTAATGTTTTGTCATCTGTGCTTATTTACAAGCATGTCCTAGACACTCCAGTTGAGTGTGTAATATATCCTCAGGGAGGGGAACCGGTTAGTGAGAGAGCACATTCTTCGAATGCAGAAGGTACTCCATTTAATCCCAAGCATCGTAAGCAACAGGACTGGCAAATACACTGGAGAGCTGTTGTTATTCAGAGCTGTTGTTATTCAGGCTAATAGAGCAAGGCGCTGGCTCAGCATGTAGGAGCCTGCTTATTACTGAGAGCTCTGCTGAAAGTATGACTGAATTTCCATTAGACTAACACACTGAAAAGCATCAAACTTTTGCACGTTAATTGACAATGCAATGTAACCCAAAGCTGGGTTGACAGATAGTTTTGCCCCTTATGGAAACTGGATTTTGAGACAGCTTGAAGCATATGAAGTAGTTGAAAAAGGTTAACAACTGAAGTTTAAATTGTAAAATGCCTGTTCCCAAGATCCATTCCATGGTTTCAAGACAGTCTCTTTTACCCAGCCTTATAGACCCATTTAGTAACCATGCAGAAAAGTTTTCTTACTGGACTCTCCTGGCAAAGGCATCCCAGAAGCAATGCTGTGTACGAGGCCACAATGCAATCTTCCATGTGCTTCCCAGCATGCTGAAGGGCTGCAAGTAAAAACAATAATATTTGAAGTATAACCAAACTATATTTTAATGTCACTTTGCCCAAATACTTATAAAGCAGCTACTTCTATGTGTTCTATGTGTATGTGCACATGCACACATAGAGCATAATTCTGTACCCAAGAATGTCAACATTTCTAACTGTGAATATTGTGGTTTTGTGGAATGCCACTGTTGCCGAGACCAAGACCCTCATCCCATCCCAGTAAGCATAGTTAAGTTTATTCCCCTTGCAGGCGCAGGGCAGTGTGATAAATTAGATGTTCAGGTGGAAACCATAAAAGGAAGGGAAGGGAATGATTACAGAGAAGAGTGCTGAAAAACAATGTTTAAGAAAGGATCAACTGATACAATGTTTGAGCCAGAATAAATGGGCCAAAATTAAATAGAAGTATTAGTAAAAAGGGAATATTAATGTTTACTATGACAATATGTCAAGGAGCAGCTTTTTGTATTTTTGTAACAGTAACAATCTTCAGCAAAAGAAGCTGAAGTGAGGCTTGTAAGAATCAGGAAAGTACTCTGATCCTTAATACCACTGCATTTTTGGGAAGAGATTAACTAGGACAAGAGTCCCAGTTGCTTTAAAAGGGAAAGAAAGAGGATTCTAAAACTGCAGCTCTTGACATTTTTTAATTTAGCACTTCTTTCCTTTGCTGACTTCCCCAGGAACATGGTCCTACCTTTATTAAGATCAAGTTCTTCTTCATCTTCTTCTTTCTTATCTTTCTCCTCTGCGTTCTCAGGCTTTTCTGTAGTAACCCACTGGATCTCTCCGCTCGTCTCCTGCCACTCCCCACTCTTGTCATGTTGTGCAGCAGGAGCTTCCTTAATCAGTTCATCCGTCTGGCTCTCTGCCAGCTGCGCTGCTCGCTCACGCTCAAGGAACAACTGAGAGGGAAAATTCCACAGATGATGAGTCATGAACCCAAATGCTACATGCGACTTAACTGGCAGCAGGGAGCATCTCATCTGTGTGCCTTCCCTTGCTTAAATTAACATTCGCTTTTGTACTGAATGTTTCATCCTGTCATCCGCAGGCAGCGTTCGAAACTCCCATTGTTCTAGGTGCGCTTTGCGACAGGGAATTTCATTAATGAGAGCAGCTTCTGAGCTCTGGGTGCAGTACTGCGCCGAAGAATTCAGATTAAAACAGCCTCTGCTGGAAGGAAAGGAGGACCTTTTTCTGCCTCCCCACTTCCAGCTACTCTCTGAAGACTGGAGAAGGGACCCTTCTCAAGAATATTAGCGGGGTGGGCAGGGGAAGCATGGCTTTGTTTTTTGCAGTCTTCAGATGAGGACTAGATTATGTGGGAAATGAGCGTACGATTTTAGCTGCAGTTCATTCATTTTCAGCTTTGTATTCTTGTTATAAAAAAAGCACGCCTAGACACTCCGTTGCGGTGCCCATAACCTAGGTTTAAGGTGCCATTTAGCTCCTAGCTTTCATATCTCCGTTTCTAACACTGTGCGTAGGCATCCCAACACAGGCTACAGGAGAAGCAGAGAAGGTACTCTCCAACAGCTCTACTAAAAGACTACATGCCATCAAGCTCCTCCGTCAACTATCAGCAGGCATTCCATCAGGCTGCAAGAGAGATGGGACTACAGGAGCTCTCCATTGGCTCTCCTGGTTCCCCGTCCCCCCCCCCCATTGCTACAGTTCACTACAAGATCTCTGTAAGTAAGAATAAGTGCCTGAGTTCCCCCCCCCACCTACTTTCTCTCAGTGCCTTTCCCTTTCTGATTCTAAGCCCGAGATCAGTATCTGCCTCCTCAATGGTATTTGTGAGCTCCTCCAGGACCTTTTTTTGGCTGAGGAGCAGGATAAAAATGCCAATAATAATATTTCGTAAAGGAACTGAGGGATTACAGCATAGTACACCGACAGTTGGTGTGCAGCATAATAATAAACTAAGTCCTAATGCCTATGGCAAGAACAGCCAAACACAACTGAGACAGAGAATATACCTTATTCAGCAGGAGATTAATATATGAGTTTCCAATTCATGCTGCATGTAATGCCCAGTGAAAAATGTAATAATCTCTTATCTAATGAAGAAATAATTAATGAGGCAAGCCAAATGTTCACAACTATGTTTGACTCAAAACTCTACAAAATTTGATCCTCCGCAAATTAATCAATTATTATTGGCAACAACAACTAAGGGGAACACCTTGTTCAAAGGTAAAATACAAGTTGCTGAGAAGAACCAGTTGATGGCCATCACAAGGATGCTCTTTGTAGGGCTCCCAGTAACATCTGGTTTTCCACTAAGATAGTACACAAGACGGCTTCAATTATCCCTTGCATCAATTAAATCAATGGCCTATAAAGAGATGTATGGCTCAAAATATGTTGGGACAAATAAGTGACTCAGTGCCTCCTTTGACCTATCGTCTCTGTTAGTTTAAAAGGGAAAAGGTAAAGGTACCCCTGCCCGTACGGGCCAGTCGTGTCCAACTCTAGGGTTGTGCGCCCATCTCACTTAAGAGGCCGGGGGCCAGCGCTGTCCGGAGACACTTCCGGGTCACGTGGCCAGCGTGACGAAGCTGCTCTGGCGAGCCAGCACCAGCGCAGCACACGGAAACGCCGTTTACCTTCCCGCTATAAAGCGGTACCTATTTATCTACTTGCACTTAAGGGTGCTTTCGAACTGCTAGGTGGGCAGGAGCTGGGACCGAAAGATGGGAGCTCATCCTGCCGCGGGGATTCGAACCGCCGACCATGCGATCGGCAAGCCCTAGGCACTGAGGTTTTACCCACAGCGCCACCCGCGTCCCAAGTTTAAAAGGGAAGGGAATGACAAATAGTTCAACATTTGAACATTAGACCAACACTGCTTCTTTCCTCTGGAGATAACTGTTTCTCACACTGCATAAATGGTTGTTCTTTTAAGTAAAAACTATGATTTACCTGAACTAAAGCATGAACAGCAGCCATCCGTCCAGATGTGCTTATGCTATCATTGGCTTCTCCCAAGCAGAAGGAATCAAAGGAACATGTTGTTTCCATATTCACAAGACAGTGCCGATTTCGTGCACTGTACTCTACCAAATTGATTAGCAGACCCAAACCCTGCAAGGAGGAAGAAAATATTAGATAGTAGAGTACAAAGAACTGTACTTTGCACACTCTTAGGGTGCTCAGAAGTATGGCCAATTTTGGCAAATTCAAGAAGTGGCAAGCCTCATGAAATTTTGGCAATTGCACCTTCAACAATCCTATAAAATATTCTTGTCCATTTACACCAGCCAACATGACCTTATCTTGAAAATGTCTGTCTTAAAGGTCTTCCGAATGTGTGCTTTTAAAGATGAAATGAGAGTATGTGTTTGGGTCTGTCCCCGCCCCCATGTAAAGCCTTCTCCCATACCCTTGTCTCATCCAGAAGTAAAGAGGAATTAATTTCATTCTAGGAGTCATACAGAACCATTTGAGATCTGTAATTCCTACAAATGTTTTGCTAGAGGACACACCAAATTCACTTTGATCGCTGCCAAAGCCTTGTCCTTCGGAAACAGCCATCAGTGCAAAGATCAGTTGTGTTGCCTAAACCATGAAATAATCTGCCAGTCAGTGTCTGTGTATCCACCCATTTTGGCATGCTCTAAGAAGATTTATTTTATTATTATTATTATTACTTTTTTCCAGTGGCAAGTATGTTTTACCTGAACCTATTACGGCTTTCATTCTACTGCTGTTCACTTGGTTTTTTTATGTTTTATGATGCTGTTTGACTTGTGCTTGTTGTACTGATAGGCTTATACTCAGAAATGTGTTGGGAATCACAACTCTTTCAACAGAGAAATGATATGATCAGTTAACAGCAAGGCTGTCATGTTATGAACCAGTGGAAGTTTTCAAACAGTTTTCATGGGTGTCATGTTAAATGTGATGTTAGCACAAGTAATTTTTAACATGTAGCCTTACATTTTCTAGAGGCATTTTTTTAACAGTTTTTCTTACCAGAACCCGAATATCAAATCTCTGTTCTTGAGGTAGAAACTTTGGAACCTGAAGCACACAATTCAGCGCTGTGCCAATAAGACCATCTTGTTCACCTGTTTTAGTGCTACCCCACTCTGCAAACATTAAAGGATATAAATGCTCATTAGACATTTAAAAAACCACAGGCATTTCAAACATGCATTTACACCACTTAAAAGTAGCAACTGGCAATAACACCTGGCCATGATCGAATTTCAGATTAAGGTTTTGGTCCCACAAACAAATCTCTGATCAAGTTTACACCTCTCCCAGACCGACACACCAGTCTGCAATGGAGGAGACTGAATCTCACCTTTTACACCCGGTAACTGAACCAGAACATAAACCATCTAAGCCCAACGTAGATGGGAATATTGCATTAACCCATCATGACTCTCTGGTGTCATAGTAGGTGAAATAACTGAACAGACTAATCACAAAAGTCATCTCAAATGTAACAAAATAGAAGCCAAAAGAGTATTTTTGACATTTTTGCTTCCCAACTCATACCTAAGTGACATATGCAAGGTCAGTCAAAAAATTCAGGCTGCTTTATGAGAGACAGTTTGTTTTCCATTGTTCTAATTTGGCAGCCATGCACTCACCCCCCCCCATCAATTTTGTAAACTGAAAACCAACATTTGCAGTACTGACATTAACTCTACTCAAATGATAGTTGCATGCGTATTTCACATTTGCAGCATTGTTTTGTGGGAGCTGTAAGGACATTATTACACCTCTTACTATCCACCTGATTAACCAGCCACCTGGCCTAAGCATAAATACAGGAATACTTTTCTCTAGACGTCATGGGAAACAATCCGACGGGACAGATGATAATCTGATTTTATGTTTCAGGATAAGTAACTTACCATTATCATTTGCTAAATTGAGTAAGACACCAATGATGGCTCTCATACAGTCCTCCACTGCCTTACCCACATGGTTTGTTACATTCTGGTGTGGCAGTACCCTACTGTCTGGAAGACAGATGGTGTCTTCTGCACGGTTGTATCTCTGGATCAACTCCTCACAATGCTGCAGTGCTCTGAAGGTTACAAAAAAAGAGCCAAAATATACAACGCAAATCATTTTCATATCAGTGTGACAAAATTTCTTCACGTAAAAAATCCAGTTCCAGCTGTAGACAGCAAGCTTAGTTTTCATTTATCATGCTGGTTTAATGGTAACTAGCAACACAGTCCCCAAAATTATATTAGAAAGCATAATCTCATGTACTTTTTATTAGGAAAAAAAGGTCCAAAGGTGCACTTCATAATGATCTAGTCCCAGATTCTTCACACAGGAATCTGCAGCATATTAGCAGCACAAAGCACTTTAGACCCAGCAAGTATTGAAGTAAGGCGTTGAAAAAGCAGAACCATAACTACTGGTATGTTAGTCACTTGGCCCCTTTTATGTGCACTAGTTGTCTGGTCATAAAGCTAAATGTGAACAGGACTGTTTGCACTTAACACCAAATGTCTGCAGTAAGATTATTTTTAAAAAACAAAATTATTTATTTGGTTTTTCAGATTAAAGTTTTACAATCACATATCCAATATCCAACATAAAACATAAAACATAAAAACAAGATTCCAGAGAATCTCCTGGGCTTCCCTCCTCCCCTTTGTGGGTCCTATTGTTAGTCATTTCCTCCTGCATCTTTTATAATAATCCAAATCTTTTACATCTCAATTATGTCCAAAATTCACCATTCAACTACAAATGTTATTCCAAGCCTACTAACAATTTTAGCTGTTTACAATGGTTTTTAAGATAAATTATAAATTTTCCCCAATCCTTATTAAAATTTGAGTCTTCCTGATTTCTGATTCTTCCGGTCATTTTTGCCATTTCGGCATAATCCATAAACTTTTCTTTTCTGTAAACTGCCCTGAGACCTCTGGGTATAAGGCAGCTTATTAAACAAAGGAACAAGCTTGCAATAAGAATTTTTAACGTTCGTGACGTATTTGATGGCAAGAAGAAGCCATGTAAAGTAGACACAATGCTAATTCCAGGTTTGTGTCTTCATTCAATTCTAGCAACACATTAAGCTTCTCCCCCATACTATACACTCTAGAGGCTTGCACAGAAAACATGCTTCACTGTATATGGCCATGTAATTCTCTTTAATTGCTATGATTCAAACGTAAGTAAATGTATACAGGGTTTATGTCAACAAATTTCCCTCTCTGGAACCCATAAACTACATATAAATCTTCCTGTCAATATTTTTACTCCGCTTGAGTGCTGACTAGAATTTCTGAAAGCAGTACTTACATCACTCCCCCAATCCTGTGAGTTCCATGGGGAAGTTGTTGAAAGAAAAAGAAGTTCCCCCAAATTGAGAAGCACGTATAAAGAAAATGTGGGGTGTGTGTATAATGTTTGTATGGGAACATTTCACAATCAAAAGTGATTTTGATTGCAAAACTTTATCATACAAAACATAACTAGCAACAGAAGTTACTTCCAGCAGGTAGAAAAAAGCCTATCAGTAAGCGGAAGCAGGAAACGATCTAACACGCTTTCCCCCTCATTTGAAAATACTAAGCTGCAATACACACACACACATGCTGAGGAAAGCTATCACCAAGACCGCAGTGTTAATACATAACCTAACAACATAAACCTTTAAAGAAGTATACCATACTGTATTTTACAAAGCATTCATTAGAACTTACTTAGCTGAAGAGACAATGAGCTGCGAATCCTTATATGCTATCAAGTAACTCTGATTTTCTGGATTATGAACTGTTACCTAAAACAGAAAAGAAAATATCATACAGCTATCATCCTTTGATGTGCGGGTTAAGCTCCTTTCACCTTCTGAAAGAACACTATGCTTTTAACAGATCTCTCAAGCTTCTAGAATGCTGCAATTTAACATTCTGCTTTGTGCTAAGCAAGCACCATTAACTTAATTGATAGAAACCTGGATTTTCTAGAACACTTGACGTCGCCCAACAGCCTGGGCTAAGGGAATAGGCTTGAGCTGGGAGATCTCCAGCCTAAAGCAAAGAGCTAGGGAGTCCTCAAGCCAAACAGAACAAACTCAGGGAAGCCTACAAGGCCAACTAACCAAACCCTCAGCCAGTTTAACTTCTCCAAGCCTGCCCCTTGCCTGCGTGGCCATTTCAACACTACCCCCACTTAGAGCTGATTGGGCAGGTGGAGGTGTTTACAAATAGTATATTGTTAGCTAAGAGCCTCATTAACATATAGGGCCAGCGCCACATTTTTACTTTGGGCTTGGTAAGGAATTCTAGAGTCACTGTCCCACCATTAACAGGAAGTGAACGCATAATATCTCTCATGATAATACACATAAAGACATGCTAATATACAAATGGACCAGGGTTTCTCAAAACTGGGTCTCCAGCTGTATCTGAACTACAACTCCTGTAATCCCTAGCTAGTGGGACTAGTGGTCAGGGATGATGGGAATTGTAGTGCAAAAACAGCTGGTGTCCCAACTTTGGGAAACCCTGAAATAGACAAAGCACCTTGTGTTCACAAACATAAATACTGTCAAATATACATGTGTGCTAGTCTACACACACAAACAGCTACATACAAGCTCCCTTCCAATGTGGCTGCAGGTCTCCATTTCTCTCCCCCAAGTAACCAAAAAACAGAATAGAAAAAGGGAACAAAGAAATTCTCCCCACCCTCTCTCTCTCTCTCTCTCTCTCTCTCTCTCACTCTCACACACACACACACACCTTGTCAGCAACATCTTTCACCTCAATACCATTTAGGAAAGCGCTACCAGTTAGACATTTGCTGAAGTGGGCTAGTTTTTTTATAATTAGATTCAGAATGCCCAATTTGAATATGGCCCATCAAGCTTAACCCAGGGCTAACCCAAAGCAGTGTAGTAGCTAATTAACACAAACGGCACACAAATAGTAAGAAGCTATATGGATATAACCCATGGGTCTGACTTTCCTCATCCCTAGTTCTGGACCATTAAAAATAAATCGCTCTTTACAAAGTTAAATACTTACGCTTTCTAAAACCCGTAAACATCGTTCTGCTCCCCATAATGAAGCAACCAATTTCTCTTCATTTTCATCGCTGCTTAAGTGATCCACACATTCTTTAACTAAGAAACAAAGACACACACACACAAAACATAAAGAGGCCAATTAAAAAATACATGTAGGTCGTGAACAAATATGACCATATTTATACTTCATGCTAAACCAGAGTTTAGCCCTAAGTGGATGGGCCCAAGAAATTCCACCTTCTCCTACCAAGTTAGGAAGAGGGCATCAGAAGACTTTAGCTTCACTCATTCAAAATCCAGAATTAACTTCACTTTCAAACCAGGGATCATGGTTTAAAAAAGATTTCATAACTTATTCGTTGGCTTGTTATGAAAGTTACCTACGGTTGTTTTAAACCAGGACCCCTGGTCTGAAAGTGAAGTTAATGTTAAGCCAGGATTCTGTAAAATTGAAATTAAATTGTGCTGAAGTCCTCCATATGGCAGTAAGAGGGAAGGAAGAGGGGAGGAGGGAGCATGAAAGCCAACCCTTTGCTTGGGCATGTTCAAGCTAATCTGCATAGCACCAAACCATGGCTGGTTGGTTTATCTAGTGTGATACATATGTTTAGCTGTAAAAAAACAACAACCCAACAACACTAAGTGGTTTAGTGTTACATGTGAACGCAACCAGAGTTATATGTCTGCGTAGCCTAAGCTATCAAATTGTAAAATGTACACAGAATACAGATAACCATTTGCTATCATTTAAAAGATTTTAAGATACAATCCTGACTGTCTCAAGGATTTGGCAAAACCACACCACAAGTCTTGTAACTCAATCTACACCAAGTGATCATGACACTTGCCTAACAGCCCTCATGTCAGATGTGCATAAAAGTCAAGTAGCAAAACACACACAGACATGACTGTCATGGATGTCAAGAAAATCCAGTTCGTACCCTGTCCTACAAGGCCCGGGCATACTTCCAGGAAAAGTCCACTACAACTTCCCAGCACAGGTGTGCCTCAGGTCAGTGAGGATCAAGCGATACCCACAACTTCAGATACAAGGTTTCACTCCTGTGGCAGCTGATACACATAGCCAGAACTCTCCATATAACCTCTGGCAGGGAAAAGCGAGAGCTACGTAGGCTATTGCTTCTTGTAAAATAAGATTCACTTCAATGAGGACAGCTGATCCCTTCCCATCCATGTGTAGCTCTGGCCACAACCCATTTCCTTTGCTCCAAAGGTACACATTATCAAGACAAACTCTTATTCCCAAGGTCATCATTGGGATGGCTTGCAATGTTAAAATTTAACTAGGGAACTGAGCACTCCACAACTACTAGGCTCATTCAGCAAGGAGTACCAACAGGCCTCTGCTGCAATGGGGGGGGGGGGGAGAGAGCCTCTCACAGAATTAACTATGATTAAGATCTCTATTTAAGTTACTGATGGGATAAATTAATAAGGCAACTTAGGAATTTTATTTCTTTGTTCTCTATTGGGGACAGTTCTTTCATGATCTTGTTGAGTATACCTTTTTATTGGGCAAAAGTTGAAACTGAGGTCATATCACTACAGTTGTATATATTATTTTACTACTGCAATAGCTAAGTTTAAGTACACACACTACAAGAAAAGGCTTTTGGAAATTCATAGCATTCCATGGGCTCGTCTATCCAGCGCATCAGAAAATTTCACTATTTGCATGTATTCTAATACACAGTCCTTTCATTCTACCAAACGAGTAATATATAAACTACCTTCTAATAATAAAAGATATATACTTTAATTCTCACTTGACCTATGTGCATACCTTTATCTACAATGTGATCAAGACCACCAAGAAGTCGCAACTCTTCTTTAAACCAGTCTCCTGCCCGTTTTGAAGTGAGAGAGAGCAATGTTTCCATTGCCAAATGCCCTGTCTAGAAAACAGAGAAAAATGGTTTATAAATTAAAAGCAGCACTCTATCAGGTACTTCTTCCATTAACACTGTCACTTGAATCTCGATTACATGATTATGTATTATAAGTTTGAAAGTGCAGGTTAATTAACCACCAAAATATTTTACTGCTCCGTGTGTTTATAGATTATTATTGTATCTTAGCAAAATGCTGCTGCACTATCACCATGTCTTACTCCCTTCCAACTCTTTTGCTACTCGCAAAAATAAATGAATTCATATGCAAAATCAAATTGCACCATTGTATTTCTTTACCTAGTCATACAATGATTGAGCCAATGAATCACTGTACTGCAGATTGGGGGCAAGTCTCAAAATATAAGTGGGTAGTATGAAACCAAACTGATAATTTTAGCTTAGCTTTACGGATCTCAAACAAAATGGCATCAAAAGCCGCATGAGGAACGTCTAATGTAAGAAATGGGTGGCTTTAGACAGGTGACAAATATAGTCCCTAAGTGAGAAGATTGTGTAGGCATCAATCCCTCTATTTGCCAAGTTGTTAACAAAGAATAAAACATTTTAAATAATCCATAAAAAGGTTATAAACAGCTAATTAAAACATTTAAAGAATAAAAACCCAAGATAAACTAAACATAGACTAAAACACATATCAACATTCTACATGTCTGGGTAGGCTTGCCTAAACAAAAATGTGTTATCAGGCACCAGAAAAAGTACAGTAAGCCTGCAATTTACATAGGGATTATGTTTCAGGGATTACACCTAAGCCAAAACTATGTATAGTCAAAACACATTGGGTTCAATGATGGGTGGGATTGCCAGCCATTTTCCCTAGAACCGCCCCCATCCCTTTTTTTAGCCTCATGCATAAACCTAAATGCACACAAGTTAAATGCATGTAGGTTGCAGGCTTACTGTACAGTAAATGTGCCTGGCCAATATCAATAGGCAAGGAGTTCCAAAGTACAACAGCTGCCACACTAAAAGGGGTTCTATTCAGCAGCTGTAACAGTTCCAGTTCCACAGACTGAAGTGGTCAAGTGGGGATATATGGGGTGAGGCGATCTTGCAGGTAAACTGGTCCCAAGTTGTAAAGGGCTTTATGTACTAATAGCAACACACTGAATTTGGCTCAGCAGCAAACTGGCAAGCAATTCAGGTCTCAGAGCACAGGTGTCAGATGCTGACAGGGTCTCACTCAATCAGGCAAAGTTTGCAGAAATACACAAATGTTTTAGGAAGAAAACCTTAAGGTGGGGGGAAAAACCCCAACACAGTCCAATTGATAACTTCTCCTGGTCAAGAGCCACAGAATTCAAAGTTGTCTGGCTGTTGCTGTTTTTTTGTGGGGGGAGGAAAAAGGAATCCTGGAAAAGGAATGGGTGCCTGAAAAAGGAAAACTCCACACTGCAACCTCTTATAGCATGTAAAGATTTCATACCAGATACCACATTTAGCCCTAGTAAAGTGGACATTTTTATACACACAGAATCACAAAAATAACTGTTTTCAGCTCCCACTCTATCAAGTGAAATATTATTCAGAAAATTCATTGGTGTTTAATTATACAATCAATTAAATACACTATTTGAGTGGCTTAGCTAAACAGATCTATTTGTTCTATACCGTCTGCCTACTACCATGAAGAAGAAAAAACCATGAGATGAAAACTGCACTGTTAAATACTTAAAAGTGTTTGGGTTTTATCTTTCAAGAGTTCAACACTCTTCATCTGCCCTAGTTAAAATTTTTAGAAGATGTGAGAGAAAGAAGCCATGACTACACTAAGTAATACCTGCAGGGATCACTGCTGTTATTTCAGAAGTGCCAGGGTTTTCCTACACTCTACTGTTTTAAAAGCATCTTTTAAAAGTTAACTAGTTTCTACCCACAAAAACAGCAATAACACCTGTACCATTTTCACATTAGAGAAAAATTAGGTTAACAGTCACATAACCTACTGTTATATTTTCTAGATCAAGGTGTTTGTTGTGAACAGTTTCACAGAGTCTTCGGATTTTTTCCTTAATCTTGTTCATGTCTTTTTCATTGAGCAACTTGGATGAAGAAGAGTCTTGTTCTAGTTCCAGAAGCCGGATCATTAAATCTAAGCTGGCTCTATCTAGATCCATGTTCAAGCGATCTCTGCTCAAGATATACATTAAAGCTGCTGTGCAAAGTGATAAATTCTTCAATGGAAAGGAAAAACAGGAAAACAAAGTGGTAAATATTTGGTTAAGATGCAGAAATCCAGTATGATTTAAACATGAATGTAAGATCTGTGTGCACTCTGGCATGCTTAATTAACACTAGCTAGGCTCCCAAAATCTCTTTCTGCATTCACAAACTATTCAGTACTGTACTTCAACCTCAAATTCCAATTGCAACTCCTTGTTGGAGACTGTTGACAGTTCCATGATTCATGGAATTGGCTTTTGTGGGGCCATGAGGTTCAAAGTGGATAAATATAAATTTTGGTGTGTTGGCATTTTATTTCAGTCCATTTCATTAGTCCTCTCTTTCTGGATCCTTCCCTCTGAATAGTTCTATGAACCCTCTTCCTTTTATCTCTCTACTCACTAGCAATCATCTCTCTTGCACCTATTTGCACACACAGTTCTCTTGTCCTCTTGACACACCATGTCTGCACAGTTTTGCTTTTCCATTCACACATTCTCTCCCTGCACCTCCATTTCTCAGGTACCCACTTTGCTGCCCGTCTCCAAAACCCAATGCTGCCCCTCACAATTCTCTTTACCCTCGTCTCTCACTACTGTAGTTTTCTGTCCATCAGCCCCTCCATCCTGTATTTTTGTATCCCTTCTGTTGGCCATTATTTCTTCTGACCGCGTGCAGCAAGAACAGCACTGAGAACTTTAATACAAAAATGATACACAGAAAAATGGGCTGTGAAGCATAGCTGACTGCAACAGACCAGAGAAATTGGTTCTAAACCAACTATACCACTATGAATCCAGAAAGATGCCATGCTTCAGATGCATTCTTTCCTCCCCACTTGTGATGGGCTTCAGGAAGTCTGACATGCCACCTCAAACAAGGGTAAGCCCCACAATCAAAATAGTATTCTTTAAGTCCTCCAAGGAGTTACAGTTAGCCCACAGACTTAGTGGTTCTCCAACTTTTCCCCAAGGGCTACTTAAAAATTGCTGAGGGTCTTGGCAGACAAACTTAATGATTTTTCTGCTTGTTATAACAATTGTAATGCACAGCACTAGATGCTGCATCATTTTTAAATAGTATTTCTTTCGCTTCTTTCATTTCTTAGAGATTATACTTCAGTGCATTCTGAAGAATTTAAACTGCAATAAAATAATACACAACATACGAAATAAAAACACAATTAAAACCAATGTGAGTATTAAAGTGATGGATGTGCCATTTCACATCTGCAACCCCAACTCTACATACGTGGTGATGCTGCGAGTCATCCAGTGTTTTGAAGACCATAGCTACCATTCCATGTGCTCTCAAATGCATTCGGAAACTGGGCATGGCGCACTTTGTCGCCAGGCTGATAACACTAAAAACAAAACAAAACAAATCTTATGAACTAAAGTTTCTCCAAGTCTCTAGCGCAGAATTTTAAATAATTCAACAACCAATGGAGAGCCCAGGTTGCCTGCCCGCAAAACCCCTACAGTCACGATGAAGCAATCAAATGACAAAGTGCACACCACAGGACAATGGTTTCGTGTCAAGCAAACCCAAAGTGCGTAGAGGAAACTTTGTCGATGGGGTACTACCCAAAAGTGCAGGCCTGTAGCACAAATAGCCTGACAGTCAGACATATTTCCTACTCCCAGTGCAGCAGGCCTATAGAAAAATCAGAAGCAGTGAGCAATTTGACTCAAGGTGCTCCTCTGTGGACATAGTGTGCCTAGCAAGTGTATGTAGTGAGGAAGAAACCCCCCAGGGCTCCACTGATCTCCTTCCCCATCTCCCCGCTATGGCTACTACTATGCTGTGTGATGCCGTGGGAAGCAGCTGAAGTCAAGAAGTTGTCGATGTTTACAATCAGCTGGCCAAGCCACAAACCAGCAAGAGAGCTGCCACCATCACAGCTCCTGTCAATCACTTGTAGTCTGGTCTCTTAGTTAAGGGCAGTCCAGCAAAGAGGACTGATCAATGCTTAGTTTATAGAGGGAAGAGCTTCAGTGACTGAAGAGCTCCAATCAAGATGTCTGCACACAGTCACAAACATTTAGAGATCTCCTATTCATTTTCTGTTTACCCTGTACTACCTCAGAAAGATCAAGCTACATGAAACAAACATGTACAATCTTATGCAGAGCCACCATTATGTTCTTTGATAGTGGTACTCTGATGACACAAGCTCTCTCTCTTTCCAGCTGATTCGGTGCCAGCTGTCTGGTGAATTTACTGTATCTGGATCAACATGCTAACGATAATGGTTAAGGCTGGAGAAGGGGTGCCTGCCATCAGCAGTCTCGCTCTGATGTAGCAGACACCAGTTTGAAACAAGATTTCTTCATGGAAAGAAGGGTGAGACTGACTGGCTACATATGCAATTGATTAATTATTAACCTATTAAAAGCAACTGATGAATTATTAATCTAATCTATGTGACCGTCTGGACGTTTGACCCACCCTAAAATGCAATCCAACTATGGCTCTGATCTTGTGTTTTTCTGTTGCATTTGTGTAAGTTTAGTGTCATTTTTTAGTTTTATTTTAAACTACAGCAAGTTCCCTTGAGAACTCCCTGAAGATGAAAGAGGGGTTGAAAAATGCATCAACGAAATACTTTTGCGATAACTACTCAGAAAGAAAAAGCGAACTAGGTTATAACAATGAATAACATCTTTTCACCAGTGTGTTTACCCAAGTAACTATCCAATGCTTTCTTTAAACAGTATGAGACATTCCTTATTAACCATAAGGGGAATAAAAATCACACCATGCAACTTCAGAACAATAGTGGGAATTATTTCATTTACCTATTTACTGTGAATGCATTGTCAGGTCAAAATCTGGCTACTATATTCTCTTGAGAACACAGAGAACAAATAGCTCTCCTTATTAACAAGTATGACTTAAGCTATACAGATTGACTTCTATTCAACATCAGCCCAATTTACTAGCAATACTTTTTACACAACTGCACCAGTACATGGGTTCTCCATAGGACGTTCCTGAAGGAAACCAAATTGCTCCCAATGGTGCAATAGTCTACAATGCTTATGAACACAATACACCTAACAAGAAAATGTGGAAATGCCATTATTAGAAATATCTTACCTAAGGCAACGTGTGTTTAGGGGCTGATTGCACTTCAGTCCACTTAACAAGTATTCAATATCATCGGTGAACTCTTGATTCTCTCCAAATTCTACTACATCATTGAAGTGCTTCACATGTTGAACAACAGTGTATAACTGGAAGGCAGATGTATAAAACTTGTTTTTAGTTTTAGAGCTCCCATTTAAAAGACTACTTTATCTGGCAGCAACAGAAATCATCAGCCAGCTCAGACTGATAAGTTATCTATTTTTAATAGGGAGATTTCTCCACCTGGCCAATTGTTCTTTAGATCATAAATGGTAAAAAAAATCTTTCACCAAGTTTACTTTCGAAACAAGAAAGTTTTAGATATTCCACTTACTTCTTTATCTTCTTTCCTACATTTCAAGGCAGTTACTATCTCTTGATAGGGTTGAGTGGGTATGGTCACAGTTTTTATCACTTTGGGAGGTGGTGCAGGAGCTTTGAACACTCCATCATCTTTATGAATTGCCTCCTTTGAAGACAGCCGTACCTATTAATGAAAAGTACTTGAATGGGTAGGTGTTTAAGCCTTATATGAACACCAAATAGGTAACAGAAAATTACGTGCATTTGTTGCATTCATCCACTGGGATTTTCAGAGGCTTCAAAAGTGCAAATTAAATGAGTGAACACATGCTGTATGTGCAAGATGATTACAATTCAGATGTTGTGGGGTATTTTTTTAAGGGCCTCCAGGGGGCAACTGAAATGGAAGTACAGTGTAGTGACATCCTTACCATTTACTTTAAGAATCCAGACTAATGGAACCACATTTAAGCTTTAAAAAACTAAGCAGACATACACAAACCCAAAAATATTTTTAAAACACAATGGCAGCTGTTAACTGTTCCCTCTTCTATGTCCCTGAAACCACACTCATGCTGAGGCATAGAATCATTCAAAATATTATGCCCCCAACAAAATCATTTTGTACTTTCATTCTTGGCTGTGTAATGGAAACACTTTCTGTGCACAGTTATCACCTCCAGTTATTTATATGATTTGGAGATGTCTTTGACCAATAAAAACCCCGATTTAAAATTGTGTGGACTGAGAACCAATAACATTTCTAAGTGCATTATAAAGTAATAGATGCAAACATTTACAGCTAGCTGCCACAAAAAATAACTTGTTGAAGCAATTTGTAATTCAGTTTAAATTACATAAACCATCCCATATGCTAAGAAGTAAACATGCAGTAATGAGTTTGGATTCAACCTGCATAGCCACGTACAAAAGAGTAGCCTAAATGTAAGAAACCAGTGTCAATGGACAATGTATTCTTTGCAATCGAAGAAAAGGTAGTTAAAATATCATTATTATTCCTGGTTAAATTCATAACCATTGTCATACTAAAGGCATGACACAACCACGGAATATGCTAGGTTTTTTTTTTAACCTTAATATCCAGCAGTGTCTGCAACACTACCCTGATGTTTACTACTATAATATTAAGCCATTTCTCAGGCTACTTCTCCTGGTGTAGATGAATCATCTCTAAGTTTAGTGTTTAAGCACTGGGAGGGTTGGCAGAGGGAAAACAAGATCCCCTTACTCACAGGGACACTTGGATTTTTCAACACCTGTGATGTCGGAAGAGTCTCAGATTCTGGTTGATTCCAATGTCTAGCATTGTATACAGCTTTTGTTGGTGACTGCAAAACAAAACAGTTGGAATATTCATTTAGAACCTAACCAGCTATTTATAAGAACATCCATTTCAAATCCTCTGAGATTTATTTTACATCATGTTTTGTCTTCCACAAAACATTTCACAGGAGTTTTGAACATTAACACTGACATGACAGTGCTTTACTCCCTTAAATTCTAAGAACATCAGAACAGAACTCATCATCATGACATTATGTGCAAAACTAAGTTTTAGAAGGTGTATATATTTGTCTCAAATTCAAGATTTTCTATCAGTTAACATAGTCATGGGGGGGGGTGGAATAAACAAGTATTTCACATTATTCATCTCCTAAAGGAATCTGCATTTTAGTTCACTAGTCATGGGCCTACAACTCTTGACTCTGTTTATTAGCGAGCCATTATTTGTTGCCACAATCAATGGCCTCTCTCTCCATATTCCAGAGAGCTGGGGAGGTTTTGGGACGGATATGCAATCTTCTCTAATTTGAGCTGGAGTACAGAAAAAATAAAGAGTCTCTTCAAAACAGCATTTCTTATGTTCACCAACCCACAGTTCAAATGAGAGCCCCTGGAAGGATATCTGGTGAACAGGACAACAAGCAGCACACAGAGAGCCCAGTAACATTCACCTATAGTGAACAAATGGTGGGTGCCTGTTGCGAATTGTTTTCTATTAAGATATATGAGAAATAAAGGAAGTAAAAGACCTGATGAGCAACCAGCAGGATACTAGCCTGCTATAAAATCCAGATGGGTTTCATCCTATTAAATTTTCCATATATGCATTCGTTCTTGGAAACATGCATTATGAACTACTAGGCTCTGGGACTGTCTCTTAAACAAAAGTACTGCTAAAACCATGACAGTCTAATTTCATTGGTACTACTTACCCTCTTTGGTCCACTAAATATCTTCCGTGTGTTTTCCTTAGACTTATCACCTTGTGGATTTATGGATTTCTTATTGCTTTCAGGAACACTGGATGCATCTTCTGGAAACTCCAATAGCTCTGCCAGGATAAGAGTAAGACAAGAAGTTGTAATTTTTCAAGTTTGCATCAGGGGAGGTTTCCTTCATGTAAGGTGAAAAGTTCAAACACACTGAGAACTGGGTACTGCATACTAGGAGGGAATTAACAAATAGTATTTTGCAGCAAAAAGTGTCATTTGTTTGTTTATCACAAAAATGTGTGTATGTTATCTGTTACAGAATGTGCAGCCAACTCCTTTTTAAAAACAAACAAACAAACATATTTTTATTAAAGATTTCTTAGTTTACAAAAGTATGTGCAATGTCTCTTTTTTCAAGTTACATTTTCCACAGATCAGTTTCATTTGTTGAGACATTAGTGTTACATTAGGAGGAAAAGTCTCTCAGCAGCCTTCTCCTTTTGACAAATAATAATAATAATAATAATAATAATAATAATAATAATAATTTATTTACATAAATATCACAGGAGGCTATTCTACATTTTAAAAAGGGAACAGTGGAATTCAGATGAAAACTTTAGTTGAATATATAAAATTTCCCCCTCCCAAAGAATTAAGGAAAACAGGTGGGGCTGTAGGGATTTACCACAAATTATTGTGGAATAACAGTTTCAAATGCACATTCTATGTTAAATAAAGCATAGCTTAAGAATAATCACATGAACATGAAAGCTGAAATCAAGTTATCAACTCATCAAGAACAACATTACATAGTCCTGTCACAATCACATCATATAGAAACAGGTTTCTGCAAGTCTTATTAGCCAAGTTGTTAACACCTTCAGCTCCACCAAGTCCTGTGCCAGACAACGCAGGGAAGGGGTCTAATATTGCACTGCACTTTGAAAACAGACAGAAGCAGCAAGTCTAACCATTACTACCTACTCCAAAGCTCAGTGAATTATGAAAAGCCCCACCGCCCTCCCTTTAGAGCCTTGCGCCTCCTTCCAAAAACTCAGCCTGGCACCTCACTTGCCCAGCTTTGGGAAGGCAGCGGGAGCATCAAATGCATTCCCACCCACCCCTTCACTGCATGACAACACAGCCTGCAGGTTTCATGTCAAAGTACTCTTGCAGTCCACTCGGTATGAAAAGTTGGACTGCCCTGATCTAGAGATAGGGAAGTCTCATTGGCCTGTTTCTGTGGTTAGGGAAAGCAATGTAAACCAGACATTACAATTGTCTTAGAAAGACATGTAAACCAAACAGGCTTGCAACAACTTACTAGTTCATAAAACAATTGGATTAATAACAGGAGAAAGATAGGATCATCATATAATAGTTATAATTAAACTACACACAACATAAAGAAAATAAACTCACGAGGCCTGTTAAAAAACCTCCCGTAGTGAAATTAATTGCTCCCATTTCAGGTATTAAAACCAGTTCAATAAATTATTATTACATTGGGGACAATTTGGAAGAGCTTTTTATCTGTGTAGTCCCACTCAAAAGCATGGAAGTCATTATTTGATACTGCAGTCATGAACATGTGCAAGTGAGCCAGGCTCTTGGGTGTTCAGCTATTTTGATGTGCCTACTAAACATTACTGTATTCATGGTCATGGTTTTAAAGCAACACTTTCACATACAAACCAACAATGAATCCCATTTTACTGTGTTCTCTCCAAGTTATCCACCTCTTTAATTCCATCATTCCTTTTTAACATCCACACCAAAGCAGATTCTTTGGCATATTCACAAATCATGCATTAACTTAAATCTGCAATAACTTAAATCTTTAGCTAGAAAACTAACTTAACATTTAGGGATCAAATGTTTAGCACAGGGTTGACATTTAACAACCTCGGGGGGGGGGGGACTGTTCCTCTGGGTCAAGCAGAAGGCTTGCATTTGGAGGTGGTGCAAATGGGCAAAAATCCTTTTGATGGTAACCTTCATATTTTACATGTTGCTCTGGAGGGGCTAGAACTTGCAAGTGGGCTTTTCCAGGTGCAGGGCACTGTTGCTTGGAAGGTGGAGGTTAAAAAGATACGCATGTGCAAACACAAGCAGTCAGTCATGCCAGCCTCGATCCTGGGTTTGTCAAACTGATTGGCTGTGCATTGGTCAAATGAAAGCACATTAATTAGAAAAGTAACAAAAACTGAATTTGTTGCAAGTTACAAATATGGTAGTCTTCTGAAAGCCACCATTCTTTTACAGAAGATTTACAGAGCACCACCCCAGGTCACAAGGGGGACATTTCTCACCACATCAAATACAATAAATTCTGTAGCAAACATTTGTGTGGCTGCTTGTGTGATCTGTGTGTTCCTGCTGAAAGAAGCCTACTGTAACATGAAGCTTGAAAGAAATTAGTCGTACCTTGGATCCCACACACTCTGGAACTCTGACGTTTTGGCTCCCAAACGCCGCAAACCCGGAAGTGATTGTTCCGGTTTGTGAACGTTCTTTTGGAACCTGAACATCCAACGGGGCTTCTGATTGGCTGCATGAGTTTCCTGCAGCCAATCAGAGGCCACGATTTGGTTTTCAAACGTTTTGGAAGTTGAATAGACTTCTGAAATGGATTCCATTAAACTTCCAAGGTACGGCTGTATATAATCTATGTGGCTTAAATGGAAGAACAGTGAGAAGGAACAATCTGAGGAAAGTTGCAAGGCATCACCTACCTAAGAAGAAAGGTTAGCACCTACAATAGTGGACAGCAACGGGCCTCATTCCTGCCATTGCTAGCTAGCAACCTTGTAATACCTCTGAAAATGGAGGCTTCCACTTACACAACACTATACTTTACTTCATGGAATATTTGGCCATCTCATTTGACAGTTCAATTAGACTCAACAGCAACCCATCTACTTGACCATTAAGACATAAAATTCTGTTAGCAAGTTCACCATTTTAAAGCACTTTCAGGAATATTTAAATCCTCTAGTTGACTACGGTGTGAATTATTACTTCCTTCCAAGAATAACAGAACTCATATCATTATCTTTTATAAATAAGATCTGCTTTTATATGGAGTTTCACTGAAAAGGAACAGGGAATATTTTGGGACTGTTTTTTTGGGGAGAGACACTTTTTCGGAAGAGGAGCATACAAATAAGTGAGGACTTTACAAATATTATCCTTTAGCTACCCAAGTAAGAACAGAGTTCACTTTCTCTTTGACAGAATCTAATCACCTATCTATGGCAAAGGAACATCATGCAAGCAATCTTTAATGCAACAAATTGCTGCAATGTTTAACATGGAAGAGTAAGGAAAATATGAGTTATCTGTTGAGAGGAGATCCATTCTAGCCTTGATATTTTTAGACTATGCTGCAGAACCAATAAGAGACAGAAGACTTTATTTTGAAATGTTTACAGGAAACACAGTCATCTTTGAAGTAGCTGGTTCATAATCTGTCACTCTCCTCAATTCTCTTCTACTCTGTGATTAATTCATGTTTGTTTTGGCTAAAGCGACCATCACTACAATGATTAACCAGTTTATCTTGTCTGCCTTGCTGATCAAGCATTTCATGTGTTGTACTCCAATGGCCCAGTTTAGTTTTGGGAGACTCTGTAGTCAATGAATGAAACTACAGCAACAGCTTCCATTTATTTCACAGGACTACAGTTATCAAACAATTACTGGAGGAGGTGATCTTCATCAGCTTTCTATCTTAGGTCTGGGTGCCTGAAGATTTATAACCTCATATACTTCCACACACTCAAAATTAATGTAACTCACCACTTTGAATGTTTAAAAGCATATGTAAATAAAGGAAAGAAGTCTTGATTATTCAGATCTTCAGTCTGCATATTTACCAATCCATACCAAAAATAAAGATCAGTAACTTGATTTTATCAGAAAGGCACAATGCCATCACTAAGTTCAATTATTTTTTGTTGTTTTCAAAGACAGTCTAACACATACTACAATAAAAATCACATCAATTTCCTAATATTTTGATGAGACTTCACTGGAATTTTTGTGAAACAAGATCAGACCCTGTTGACTACACAAAGATGAAGCCACAGTTTCTCAATTCAACTGCAACGGAAAACTGCTTTGAATTAACCAGGTCAGAAGCCCTGAAGCTGACATGCAAAATGTGGGGGCCAGAAAGAGGGGGGGGGGAGAAAGAGAAAGATTCAGATTTCCACTCTTGGCTTAATGAACCAAATTATTAACTATCAAACTGTAGCTATCAAATTGTGAAACAAGTGCAAAAAATTAATGTTACCTGGGTTAGTGCTTGACTGACTGTCTTGTGAATAGTTCTCACTTCCATCAGAACTGGACTGAAGTGAAGAGGATGGAGCTGCCCGGTTTCTTTTTTTATTGACTTTTCTTTCTAACGGCCGCTCTTCATCATCATCTTCACTTTCACTCAAGTCATCAAAACCAAAGTATTTAATTTTGTAATTTGAGCTTCCAGATGTTCTAGAGCCGCCTTCACCACCCCCTCCTTCATCATTGTCGTCAAACCCAAAGAATTCTAATTTGACATCTTTTTTGGATTTGGTATTGCTAGGTCGAAATCTAGTTGTTGTCTTGGTTGTTGCCATGTCGGCTTTCTTTCTCAGACGTCCTGCTTCTCCCAAATCAGTAGGTGTAGATGTGGCATACTCATCAATACGATCCATAGTGTCTTGTATAGTAACATTACAAACCGACAAACATGATGGATGGAGAACAGTGTAGTCTCTAGTCCTTCCAACAGTCCCTCTAAAACTGGTCCCACTACTTAAAGCAACTTTTTTCACTGGGTTCACACCATCAGTATTTGAATCACTGTTTGCTTTGGCTAAAGGTTGAAGAGTGCCATCCAGTAGCTTATCAAAATTTGTTGTCCCCTGTGATTTTGTTTTGTTGGATCTACAGTATGTCCGACAATTACTTGGCCTGAGAACAGTTTGCATCAGTTCTTCGCTAATGGTTTCCTTTGGACTTTCCATATCCTCTTTAACCAGATATTCATCCTTGTTTTTTATCTCTGAAAGTGGTTCATCATCAAAACCCAACATATATTCTCCTCTTCGGGTATCCTCATTCTCATCTTCCCATTCATATAAACCAGTCACTAATGATTCCTTTGTAAGTGACACTTCTGATGGAGAGTCTCTCTTCCCGATATGGGAGTCCCAAGAATCATGAGATTCCTTCATTTCAATATTGTACCCAGAGATTTCTGCTGTTTGAGCATTAATTATATTATTGTCTTCAACATTCTTGTAGATGAAGTGACTGTTCTCACTGTCATTAAAAGTCTGTACTGCATCTATAAAACAAATAGCAATAATTAAATATAGCTTATATTTTAAGTTTAACTGAATCTTATTTATACTTTACAACGAAATAGAGAAATATTCAACAAACAGCAATTTCCCAGTTGGGACACATTAACAAGACAGTTATTTGTTACTATTAGGTTCACTACAATATTACCCTCTGTTTTTTAGTGACACAAGACAATAATCAGGCCTGGGTACAGAACACATCTCCACCCAGGTGCAGGAAAGAGTCGCTCCATAGCTGCAGTTTTTCTTCTACAGCAAAACCAAACCAGCATTCACATAACATGTCTGGAGTTTGCTGACTAAAGCTGCCACTCCACCCACTTTCATTACACTCCACCCGGGTTATCCAGTACAGTACCATGCTTCAATGCAAACTCAGACAGGATTGCTATGGACCAGCCTCAGCCACATTCACAACTCTAATTGAATTCAACTTACAGATCCTTTGACCAAGCCATGTTAACACTGTTTGGGATAGTACTAAACATAGACCAAAACCTATAAAGAGAAATGTTGGAATGGCAGGTCAGATCAAGTTACTACATTTAGTCAGAAGGTTGCAAAATAAATTATAAAGTGATGTATCCAACGTACAGTGGTACCTCGGGTTACATACACTTCAGGTTACAGACTCCACTAACTCAGAAATAGTGCTTCAGGTTAAGAACTTTGCTTCAGAATGAGAACAGAAATCGTGCTCCGGTGGCGCGGCAGCAGCGGGAGGCCCCATTAGCTAAAGTGGTGCTTCAGGTTATGAACAGTTTCAGGTTAAGTACGGACCTCCGGAACGAATTAAGTACTTAACCCGAGGTACCACTGTATATAATTTGTTCATAATAGGTTCAATACCTACAAACAGCTTAACATTTCATTAGCTGTGTACTAGAAATTTCTGTATTCAATCTTCCAATATAAAGCGCAGCTTATCCACTAAATACACTAGAAGCTTTCTTGCTTCTGTAAACCAATTAAAATTTGCATAAAAGGAAGTAACTGCAGTTACTGTCACAGAATTATAGAGCTGGAATGGACTCCCGAAGCTGTTCTAATCCATCCCCCTGCAATGCTGGAATATGGAGGTGGCCCTATGGGAACTGAACCCATGTCCTTGGCATTGGTTCACTTCATCAGGTACTGCATTGAAATCTTTAAATGCCTAGGTTCAAATCTCTGCTCAGCCATGATGCATTGTAGATGCGATTCCAACAGGTTACTTTCTACTCATTCAACCTCAGTTAACATTTTTAACAATGTTTGCAGGAACAATGACCTGCTTCACAGGACTGTTGTGAAGGCAAATAAGTCAATAAGCATTAAATCAATGTATTAGCGGTGCTTTAACTACACCTAATGAGCCCATTATATGTGGCCTTCTGACTTCTTTCCTAGCCACTGTAAACTGAGGTGTAAACTCATCAAGTTTATTCCTGCAGAAAATCCACACAATGAAGCCAACTAGATATAATGGAAGGATATTAGGAACAGTTTGATAAAGATAAGCAGTTATTCTCCTACCCCACAAGACCTAAAAGACCGCAGACTGTTCTATCTATTCTTTTCAGTTTTGCTTTTGTTATATTTCTCAAACCATCGGTCCTTTTTTTTTTTGCCTACGGCTCTGACCCACGAAAACAACTAGAAACATAAGTGGGTTTTTCCTGCTTTACTCCTCTCTTCTGCTAAATGCCCCATATGCTGTGAAAAGTCACTTCTGAAGATGACATGGGTAGGCTGGACACCACCCCCCCACCCCATGACCAGAAATATCTTCTATTTATATTTTCACACAACTGAATTCAAGTCTGCATCTGTCCTTTTCAGTTGAAGTGGTCAGAGAAATCAGCAGAATCATGGACCATTCATGTTCAATTTACACTGTTCTCTTTTGTGAAGGTAGAGAAGTGAAGGGAAAAGTCCTCAAATAAAACCTAGGTTGTTGAATTTCCTTCTGGAAGAAGTTTGCCTTGTTGAATTTTAAGTATCAGGTCACACACTTTGCTTTTTTTAGAGGCGTTAAGGTTGCAAACAAAGTTTCGTTCCCTATTGTTTTATCGTTTATTCTTATTTTTAGACTTGCTTTTTAACTACTTACCTAGTTACCACTGGCGGCAAAAAATTTCATCCAGGCAAATGAGCAGGCTGCCAGAGGAAGAGTGGAGTACTGCCCTGACAGCCTGCCATGTTTCTCTGCCATATAATCTTAAAATATGTGCCAAGCTCATCTCATTAAAACTTGCAGCTGAAGTACACATTACCATCTTTATGATGGAAGGTGCAGAACCAAGCCTGCCGTTACCTACACTTGAGTCCAGGAAAAGAACTTTCTGCTGGTGGGCAATACAGGGTCGGCTGCCTCCATCAGCCATGCTCCTCTATTAAAGGGAGACAAAAATGTCATGAGAAATCTCGAATCAGTCCTGCTATTGGCTATGCTCCTTGCCCATGCTGGTAGCAGGCGGCTCTCCAGAGGAAACCTACCTCTGCCAGGGATGAAGCCATTGGGGAAGGAATACTGCCCACTTACACACTTACACGTAATAGGGAGCTTCTGCTGCTGCTAGAGTGAACAGGCATGGTGGGGAGGGATGGTGTAAGGTGGCACAACCACTGGGGACTAGCCCAGCCCTTTGTGCTGAAGACTAGCATCAGTCACCAGATGTTGCTTGTATTATGTGCCTACTCGCCTTCTCTAATACAGATCCTCATGAATAACATGAAGCATGAGGTGAGAGAAGTGTATGTGCACTACTTAAATGACTGGATTCTGCTTTTTCAAAGGGCCCGCTACTGCAATGTGTATGGTAACCATGCTTTGTGCCTATTCCTTATGTTGTAATTAGCATATTGTTTTACTGTCTTTGGCCATCTTTATTTGATTGTTTATTTGTACCAATTCAAGTAGCACTTCTTCAGACTGATGAATGGTCACTCGCCTCTAGTAAACAACTACATGTTTTGCAAGTTTTGAGCTGAATTCAAAGTGTTTATGTTGTCCTGAATAGCCTGGGACCCAAATATCTTAGAGAATATCTTTCCCAAACCAACCTGTCCTGGTTTAAAATCAGCTAAAGAGGCTTTCGTGGTGATCCCTACAAGTGATGAGGTCAGAAGTACAAGGGTCTATATCAGAGCTTTTTCAGTGTCAGTTCCAAAACTTTCAAATAATCTCCCCAATGAAGTGCATCGTACTTTTGGAGATGAGGAAGTCTAATTTGTTGAAATCATTTTGTACAGTACCATATTGGTCTGAATATAAGCTGCACCCGAATATAAGCCGCACCTTTAAAATTAAAGGGGTGGAAAGACATAACCCAAGAAGGAGCGGGGGCCAACGGGACAGTGCTTTCACTCCGCCGCCCGCAGCAGTGCTTCCAGAGGGTCAGCACCACCATAGCCCCTGACGGGATGGGCAGAGAGAGGCAGAGGCTGGTGGGACTCACACGCCCCTCAGCAGGCTAAAGCTAGGCAGCACCTCGGGCTAGTGCCAGTCCCAGCACACCGGCTATATCTCCTGTTCCTCCTCCTAGCAGACCCCACTCGCTGTCTTGTCTGTGCTCCTTCCTTCCTTCTCCTCCTTGCCACATTCTGGCTCTCTCTCAGCAACCCCCCTTGCTGTGCCGCCATCTTGGGAGCCGGCCCAGCCAAAACCAGGCAACATCCGGGGACAAGCCTGCTCCAAGCCAATTTTTGTTTGTGAATATAAGCCGCAGATAACCCTACTTTCCTCACAAATCTCTGACTATTCCACCCTCACTTCATCCCATATAGGCTTCAAAACATTCCAAGTCAACAAGTGTAGCATGAAGCTTTCAGAACATACTTACTTATAAATTAAGAAGAGTACCTACATTTACATGGCAAATAACCCATTTTCATGTTCTATAAAAAAGCTATCAGCCAAGTGTCTAAAATATTTCCAGATCACAAACAGTTAAACTGAAGCTTCACTACAACTTCTACCAACAGTGGTAATCAAACAAAACTCTCCGCACTGCTTGTGCTCTAAAGCAGAAATGCAATGTCAATTCTCATGAATTCAGCAGTAGAGCTCTTTAAGGATGAATGCTGTTGACAACAGAATTTAGCTTGCTACTTCTGCTTTGTCCTTTGACTATTTCCTACCACGTTTACCAAAATTGCTTCTTTGCTGGGTGAGCTGTTGCTCTAATCTTTATGTAACCTTTCCACAGCCTTCTTATCTAGAATCCTTCCAACAGATGTTCCCTTTAACCACATCCTTACCAGGACAAGCTTGTGTTTTATACAGATAATAAAAGATATTAAATAGGAAAGGGAGGCTTCAAGGAATATCATGATTTTATGGGACTATAAATTAGAAGCATAAAATGAATTAGGGAAAACTGGCACCACTATGCATGTCTCTGCTGTATTACTACTTGTAAAGGGCAGAAAAGATAATATAACCATTCTTTAAGCAAACTCCCAACTGTATCATCAAGATAAGTTTTCCAAACTGGCCAAACAGAACCATTACAGGTTTTTTGAGGAATTCAAGTAAAAAAAAAAATAGTTAGAACATGTGCCCGTAAAGAGTTGTCTCAGACTGCATTTGTAAAGGTCTGGGTAAAACAGGCACTAACTACCAAATAACATGCACTACTCATGAAAGAATAGTTTATACTCAAAAAAGGGATGTGACACTTAGTACCTGACAGTCAAAGTCTGCAGCTACAGAAAGGGGAAAAGGATAGCCCTACACGGATTGTCCTTCATCCCTCTTAATTCGGCATGGCACCTACATACTTGCATTTCACCTGCATAAGGAAAGCAAACTCCTTCAATCAGCTGTTGTTCATAAACTCATCCAGCTCTGGAGAGAGGAAAAGCATGGAAGATCATATGTGTAATAGTACAAAAGCTTTCCATTAGTATGGCATTTCGTTAGCAGAGCTCAAGCTTCTATCAGGAGGCAAACATTAAGTAACCTCCTCCCAACTACTACTCATGATTGCACACACCAGAGTGTTATCAAGAAAGCCAGAAGGCAAGATCAAACCCTCTTCACTATGCACATAAAGATCATCCTAGCACTTCTGAACACAAGATCTCTCTGAAATATAAAGAGGTTCTGCTGGTTCTACAGATCAGAGATAGCTAAGCTGTGCCTCTCCAGGTGTTTATGGACAACTCTCATCATCTCTGGCCAATTGCCATGGTGTCTGGGGCTGATCAAAAGTTAGGTTAGGCAACATGTTCTAGATTTTGTGTTTTTGGCTTTGTAGCTGCAAGAGCTATTAGCTTGTACTATCAATTGGAGGAGGCAACATTTACAAAAGCTACATAAATCATTATGATTACTGTGCATCTCAGCGTCAGATTGATTACAACATCTCTAATCATAACTCACATTCCTATTAAAAAAAAATGTATATAGCGGCTGCGTTTCTGCATCATGCTAAACCAAAGCTCAGTGCAATGTGAATTAGAAGAAACAAGCAGCAACAAACTGCAAGCTTATTTACTTCCCTCTCTTTTCCTCCCATGTGTCTGGACTCCGGAAGGAGTTCAGAAGCGTTTGTTTCAAGCTTTGATTAACCAGAGCTTGCCATGCCATCTAGATCCAGAACTGTCATCAATCTTAACTATGTTTAGTAGAAACAAACCTGCTTCAATAACTACTGTTTGAAGGTGACTTGTTTGAAACTAATCATAGCTAAGCAGGTTTGTTGGTCCAGAGTCCGACAATTGAACATGTTAAGTGAAATCTTCTGTATTTCTCCTCTAGGCTGGACAAGAGTATGGCAGGGGGAAGCAAGCTCATTGTGATTTGTTCCTACTAAATTATGGTTTAGGATGACATGCAAACAATGCCAAATTGACAGTCAAGCAAGTGACCCGCTTTTAAAAATGAATTAGAATCTTCAGTCTTGGACAGTAGAGCCCTACTAACTTAAAACATTCCCTAACTCTCTGCCTGAAATTTAAGCTGCTGAGGGGGCGACATTTTGTGAGATGCCAGACTTTGAGTGCCCAACTATGCGTTTAGGAAAGTAACAAATGTAGTAATTTCCTGGATCACAGCTTATGTGATCAGATTTAGAGATCATATACTGTAATCATATAATATATGTGTATACTACCTTAATTTGATTACCGGTATCTATGCAGGCACGTGCTTAGTGAATGAACACTTGTTGTTTTATCAAGTATTTCAGGAATCCAGATGAGTATTACTCTGTGGGATTTAATTTGAGCACACCAGAGATTTCTGGTAAACATGATCTGTTTTTCTTCAATTCTTGAGCAGGTGGATTTTGCTAATGAGTATTATTGCTCTATGATTTTCAAATGAACCTCATCTCCTATTATACCTTAGGTCTTTTATCCAACTTTTAGACACATTTTCAGAAACTAAGGTAAAGGTAAAGGTACCCCTGCCCGTATGGGCCAGTCTTGCCAGACTCTAGGGTTGTGCGCTCATCTCACTCTATAGGCCGGGAGCCAGTGCTGTCCGCAGACACTTCCGGGTCACGTGGCCAGCGTGACATCGCTGCTCTGGCAGGCCAGCGCAGCACACGGAACACCGTTTACCTTCCCGCTAGTAAGCGGTCCCTATTTATCTACTTGCACCCGAAGGTGCTTTCGAACTGCTAGGTTGGCAGGCGCTGGGACCGAACGACAGGAGCGCACCCCGCCGCAGGGATTCGAACCGCCGACCTTTCGATCGGCAAGTCCTAGGTGCTGAGGCTTTAACCCACAGCGCCACCTGCGTCCCTTTTCAGAAACTAGTAACATTAAAATACAGGTAATTACACCACAAGCCTCCCCTTACAGCTATGTATAAAATGCAAAACCAGTTGCACATTATGCCAAGTGAGCAAAACAGAAGCACAAGCAAGTCAGTTTTGTGCTTTCCTTGCTTCTGCAGTAACATACAAAGTGCAGACCCCCTGATCTCATACGAAGTGATTTACATGTTCTATTTTGTAGGGAGGATACTTAAGTCCCTACTCTGCATGTTACCAAAAAGACAGCAAAACAGAATCCTGTTTCAGTAACATTCTACCTCTAATTTTGCAAATCTGTTTTTTCCTCACAACAGCAGGACAGGGCTTGTCACCTGACAGGGCAAAATAAGTTCATTAAAATGTTTATGGGAGTTATGGGGGGGTTGGTCATTGGTTTGCAACTTAATGTAACATTAAGTGGCATTCAAGTGCTGCTCTTTTTAAACAATTTTTAAGCCTTGCACCACTCTCCAGGATCTCTGCAGCCTCACCCGTAAGCTAGATATTGGAGAGTCCTGGGGGTATGTGCCAAGCAAAAAGCCAAACTTCTGCAACTGCAACTGCCCCCTCCCAGGACATTTCTTCTGCTCCACTCCAATTTTAGATTTTTCACTTCATCCACAAATGGCTAAAAAATATCAGCCATAGTTTCAATCATATTTCTGTTTTTCTTACTTCTCTAATATACAAAGTAGATATTTTGACATTTCTGCAGAGATCTTGACATTTCTACATCACTATAGAGGTGCCTTAAAAATAATAAAGGAAAGAACAAAAGCAACCATACTGAACTTGTCATAAAAGTTATTTTAATCTTAAAAGCTAACACACTACTTAATCACACATAAGTTGGGAGAGCCATTGTAAAGGGAGGAATCCATCGTTGTTTGGGCAACTTCCACTCATACTGGGTGCGGATTCACCTTTCCCTCCGCCGCACTGCACACCTCCAAAATGTGCTCCAGAAGATCCCTCAACCAATTCCTTGCTTCCCTGACTTTCAACTTGCAGCTAAAGTGAGCACAAATTTATTAAACGTTCCAACTTGCAAATATGTGAAGTTTATGAAACTTCATCTCTCACAACCAGAAATCCCTACGCATAAGCCCATGCCATGGAACAATTAAAGTAGAGGATCTGATAAGCATCTGAATCTGAAAGAAAACATTATTTGGTCAAAAGAGTGGCCAACTTGCATGGCTGACTTTAGTTGTTAACTCTGAAATTAACTGTATTATCCAAGCTTACCTGCTATTACAGTGTTAACACTGCTGCTTTTGAGGTCACCATCCTTCCATATTTCTGTTTGAGTTCTTCTCTTTTAATCCATGAACAGCATTCTCGAAAGACACACATTTGCTGGACAAAATATCTTCACTGATTGACTGAGTAATTTTGCTATTAGATTCAAGTACAGAAGAGAAGTCGCCAGACTGAGATGGTTCGACTGACTCCAACTGAGAAGAACCTTTAGCTTGTGACACATTCTTTGAAGATACTGGCAGGGATTCTTCATCACTGTCAAATCCAAATGGGTCTTCTATTGCTTCCTCTTCTATTTTGGGTTTCTTAGGAATTTCAGAAATGTCTGGCTTGATGTTGGGCCTCTTCTGTCCTAGCTTGGCCATAAAGGTAGTTTCTCCCCATTTTGTACTAAGAGTAGTCCGTTTGTTGGAAAAAACTTCATCAAATTTTGAACTGCCATTGCCCCCTTTCCTGCTATACGTCTTCCCAAATCTGGATGTCATTTTGACAACTGTTTCATATTCTCTGTAGAAATAAAAAAATAAGTATCTTTTAGAATACAATTTTTACTACATTTTATTACATTAAGAGTTACACAAAGAAGCATATTTCAAATAAGCAATAATTACAAGAAACAATACTCATGGCACTTTTACAGAATATCAGCTAAAGCAGGGCTGTCTAACCTGTGACCCTTCAGACATTACTGAACTATAGCTTCCATCAGACCCATCAGAAATGATGGGAAATGTAATTCAGAACCTCTGGAGGGCCACTGGTTTAGCTGCCGCCAACCTAAAATAACACAAGTTATGGATAAAAAATTAAGTTCGTCATCTTAAAATCTTTTTCACACTACATTCACAGACTGCACCTGACATTAGGGGGGGGGGTTTGGGGGGGGATGCATAGTTAAGCTCCCTTTCAATTGTTTACATGATCTTGTTTGTTTTTATACTACTGATGACATGCCGTTCATATTAGAAAGTATTCGCATCAAGCCTTAAAGGCAAGGTAGAAAATTTGGCCTTTACTATTCCATCAGACTGCAACTGAGGCAGAAGGGAAGCAGGACCACTCCACCAGCTCCGCAGATGTTTTAGGCTTCTTCTCTCACTGAACTGTTGTCATCTAAGCTGGTTGCTATAAGAACCCAACAACATCAAGAAGTGGTTCTCGTGCTTGCTAGTTTCCATCTTCCCTCCTCAACGCTTTTGCCTTGTGTGTCATGTCATGAGGTCAGAGACTACTTTTTAAAAAAGATTATCTACAAGCTGTCCTGGGAAGCTTTTTGGTTGATGAACAGGGCAAGAATGCTTTAAATTTATGAAGTTAAACCACGGGAGTGGGGGGAAGGGGACATAGCTCATAGTTTATGGGTACAGGCTTCTGCCTCTGACCACAACACTTTGGGGGGGCTGCTGCTTCTAAAATGATTAACACCAGTGGCTCACTCCATGACTCTGATGCTACAACCATAAACAGCTTTAATCATCAATGACAGCACAGCCTGTTCTCCTTGTGGTTTAAACCACAGCCATAATATTAGCTCTCCTCTTAGCAGTAAATGGCCCATGCTTCAACCATGATATGGAATCAAAACACTATTTGGGGCTCTTATCTTAACAGTGAGTCTCTTTGTAGTTTTCCTAAGAACTTGGGACACCAGCTATATTGTTTTAATAAACATTCCTGAACCTCCTAACAGATGATAAAACTACTGACTGTGACTACAGTGCATCCTACTGAAATTTCAAAAACAAAACATCCGAAGACTCAATATTTTGAGTGGGGGAAAGAGTTTCTTATCAGCATAGAAGACAAACATTCTGCTAAAGAGAAAAAAGCTGATGTTTCAATATACCAGGTAAGTATTTCAACACACAAAATTCAAGACACAAAGCTTGTACAAGAGAAAACTGCAAAAAAAAAATCTATTAACTGTTAATCCCATTTTACATACATACATATTAAGTAGATTAATGTTATTTTCAGTATTTCATTCTATTTCTGCCAGTAAGGTAGCAACTGTGGCAACCTTTCTTTCGGTTTATGTGCCATTCATGGGTGTAGCCAGGATTTTTGTTAGGGGTGTCAGAACCTAAGTTAGTTAAGTATTTTTATTGATTTTTGTTGATTGGGGGAGCAGCTGTCCCCCCCCCCGGCTACACCCATGGTCCCATCTCAATCAAAGCACATAATTCCCTACAGACCCACACACAACTAAGTCAGTGTTTGCAAAAACAGCCACAGATTCAAACTGTCTAGAACAGTTCTGTAGAAGGTAATACAGTAGACAAAAGAAAGTATAATGTATTGATTGATTTGTTATCAAGCCATGAAAAGCATCCCTAACAACTAAAATCCTGATATTCTATGTATCGTACATTGTTCAGGAATACCCTAAGGCTGTGGATCTCATCCTCTCAAACATAGGCATCCTTACGCCCACAAGACTAGAAGAAGATTGTTTTATAAACGCTGTTGCCCTTATCATAAGATTTGTTTTTTTTAAAAATCCTATTGTCATTTTAATTCTTCAAGCTTTTTAAAGTTGCTATTTGAAATATGTGGAATATTTTATTAAACCAGGGTAGATTTATTACTAGACCATCAAATAATATATGCATACATACTCTACTAGAAAATGCTGGTGAAAGGGGCAATTCAAATATGACCTGTACTGGTCTCGCCCAGTATCAATATTGATACACTGGTGCAACTTGTCAACTTTTGCTATAGGGGTGGTTAATAATAATAATAATAGTAATAATAATAATTTATTTATACCCTGCCCATCTGGCTCGGTTTCCCCAGCCACTCTGGGCGGCTCCCAACAAAATTAATGATGATGATAATCATAATAATAAAGCGATAAAACATCAGACATTAAAAACTTCCCTAAACAGGGCTGTCTTCTAAATGTCAGATAGTTGTTTATTTCCTAGACATCTGATGGGTCTTCCACAGGGTGGGCACCACTACCGAGAAGGCCCTCTGGCTGGTTCCCTGTAAACTCACTTCTCGCAGTGAGGGAACCACCAGAAGGCCCTCAGACTTGGACCTCAGTGAATGATGGAGGTGGAGACACTCCTTCAGGTATACTGGGCCGAAGCCGTTTAAGGCTTTAAAGGTCAGCACCAACACTTTGAATTGTGCTCAGTAATAGTATTACTTGCTAAAGGACAAATTACATTCAGCCACACACACCAGTTTTTAGAACAGCATCTTGCATAAATTGCCTGGTAAATAACTTGTTTTACTTTACTGTGGAGATGGGGAAACCTGCAGCCCTCCAGATGGACTCAACTCCCACGAGCCCAAGTCAGCAAAGACCCATAGTGAATAGTGATGAGAGCTGTACTGCAGCAAGGTTTGGCGGGCCACCCTACAATTTCATTTGATTAGACTAGGAATTATTTAAGTTCAAAACACCGAAGTTGATCTAAAGTTCTGAATCAGATCAAGCACACTATGAAAAAAACTAGCCTTGAAATGTTTGCAACTGAAGCACCTTCTCCTTTCTGCCTTCTACTCTTCCAAGAGTGCTTCAGTTTTACTTTGCAGCTCACAACCTAGCCCTTTCATATTCTTTGCTGACCACTAGTTAAGGCTGGGACAGTGAAAAAGAAGATCACAGAATATAAATGTGCAAAGTTTACTACATCATTACGTATTAACGCTACGCTCATATGGTTGTTCAAAAAGTTATATCGAAAGCCACCTGTTCAATCATTTTAAAGATAGCCTGCCTCAAGGGCCTTAATGTATTTTCCTGCACTGCTTCTCAGATCATGAAAGGCGGCCTCCCCCCTTTTAACTTAAGGCACGGGCGATGGTGCCTTATGACGGCAATGGAGGGGCGGGAGGATGAGGATACCGTGTCATCCCGAACGAAAACACCAAGTTAATGGAAGATGTCGTCATTTTCCTTCCGGTTTTCTCATGGCTGTTACCGTCCTCCCGCCTCGCTCCCCACCCACCCATGTAACTTGCAAGAGAGCAGACAGCGCCAGCACGACCATAGGGGAAAGCGGGGAAACAGAGCCACTGCCGCCACTGTTTCGGGACAGGGGCCCCTACGAATAATGACGGGTGGGTGAGAAAGGGGGGGCTCTGAACCCGAGGCGGCGTCCAAGCCGCACCCTAGTCCGAGTTGGGGGAGGGGGGATACAGGACCGCACGAGAGAGCTTGGCAGGAGTTCGTACTTTGGGCACCAGCCCCCCGAGATCGGGAGCATCCCGAGCCGAAGCGGGCCGTTCCAGGATGAGGCCAAAGTCGCCTCCTCAGCACTTACCCCGGAAGAGGCCTCGGCGCTGGGAGTCGACGCCTCTCTCTCTCCTCGGATTCCGACCCACCTGATCGCCCCAAGGACCCCTCGCTCGCAACCGCCCCGGCTCTCGATTGGGGGCGAAGGGAAGGGGGGGGGAGAGGAGAAATGCAGGGCGGCGGGTTAAGACCCTCGAAATAAGCAGGTCGCAGGAACCGATTCGCCGCGCACGTCTCCTCGGGAGTCACTTGCGCCGCGGTCCGCTAGGAACCGAGTCCTCCTGCCCGGGATTGCAGCCCCCGATCCCGGTTAAGTGCCATGGGGGGCAACCGGGGAGGAGTATTTTTTAAGCTTTAGGGGGGGGTAGGGAGAGAAGATCCCTTGCTTGGTGTTTAGTCACAGAAACGCAGGCCATTCGGGCTTCGGAGTTAACGCCTCCACCCTCCCCCTCTCCTTATGTACACACGTATATTTATCTACGGATTCCCTCCCGGCTTCACCCTCGGGGCCGCCTCGCCTTCTGCGGCCTTGCGAGGCTTCCCGTCGTGTGGGAAGGCGAGGAAGAGAAAGCAGGCCGCCGCTGCCGCCTCCTCCTCACCCAGCGCCGGAGATCCCGGCATAGGCCTCCGGGAGTTCGCTCGGCCTCTCTCTAATTCTCCACACTTACCACAGCGAGGCCGAGGAAGCGAGCACACAAACGCACAACCACAACCGAGAAACGGAAGGGGGGGGGGAACGAAACCTGCCGGGGTAGGTGGAGAGGGACGGGGGTGGCGGGGCCTCCGCCGGCTTCGCTCCCAACGGCCGGGCTCCCGGGCTCTCTCCTTCCTGCCCTCGCTCGGTGCCTTCGGGCGACGCCCCCGGGGCCTCGGGCTCCTCCGGCCGCCTCTCCTCACAGGCCGCCCGGGCTAGAGCGCCGGCCTCGCGTCCTCGCAGGAGCCGCCGAGCCGCCGCCACCACCGCCGCCGCCTCCTCCTCCGGCTGCTGCTGCTGCGCCGCCGCTTCCTCCGCGCCGGGATTATCGCCGCCGCCGCTGCTGCTGCTACTACTAGTGCGGCTGCTCTTTGAACAGGGCCCTGGACCATCTCTCCGCCATTTGCCCCCCGCTCCTTCCGTCACTGCGCTCACACACTCGGCCTCCCTCCGTCGCCGCCGCCGCCGCGGCCAATCACGGCCCGCGTTGCTCAACCGACGAGCCGGGCGACGTCGCGCATGCGCCGCCGCCGCCGCCGGCCGTGTTCGGGCCCCCCCTCGAGTGCGCGCGCGCGCCAGCCAGCCGAAGGGCTGATAGGATTTGTAGTTGGTGTTCCGTCTGGCTGGTCGCAGCTCCTTTCCTCGCCCCCTGCTCCTCCTCGCACGCGCACAGTCATGGTGACTTCCCTTTTTGGGGACGCGTTTTGGAGCCTCTGGAGAGTTCTGCAAACCGCAGCAGTGCTGACTCAGTGGCCCAAGGGCTCCCTTGACAGCTTACCTACTTAATATCCCCTGTTTTTTTGTGGTCTGGCTGTTGGATGCGTTGCTTTTTATTGAGTTTGAAATGGGTTGTTGCTCTGGTTTGCGGGAAGGACCCATGGGGTAAAACAGGGGTAGGCAACCTAAGGCCCATGAGCCACAAGCGGCCCACGGGGGTCGTTTAACCGGCCCACGAGCCACCCCCAAACCTAGCCACCCGCACAGCGAGTCCCTTCGCACTGCACTAAACCGGCGCTGCACGGCAACTCGCTTCCGCGATGCCAGAAATCACGTCTGTGCATGCTCAGAGGCCGAAAATTGTGTCTGTGCAGACGCAGATGCCAGAAATTGCAGCTGCGCACGCTCACAATCCGGCCCACAGGGATCTCCGCTGGAGTGAACTGGCCAAGGCGAGGTAAACCTTGCTGACCCCTGGATTAAAAGCAGCATGGAAACAACAACAACAATTTTATTATTTATATCCTACCCATCTGGCTGGGTTTCCCCAGCCACTCTGGGAGGCTCCCAACAGAATATTAAAAGCACGATAAAACATCAAACATCAAAAACTTCCCTAAACAGGGCTGCCTTCAGATGTCTTCTAAAAGTCAGAAAGCTGTTTATATCCTAGACATCTGATGGGAGGGCGTTCCACAGGGTGGGCGCCACTACCGAGAAGGCTGTCTGCCTGGTTCCCTTTTAACCTCACTTCTCGCAGTGAGGGAGCCGCCAGAAGGCCCTCGGAGCGGGACCTCAGTGTCCGGGCTGAATGATGGGGATGGAAATAACAACAACACATACACACAACACCACCAGGGCCGGATTAAGACCTGTAGAGGCCCAAAGCACTTAAAAGATTTTGGTTCCCCTATATATATCTATTTCAAAATACAGTTGTACCTTGGGTCCTGAACGCCCTGGAACTCGGACGTTTTGGCTCTCGAATGCCGCAAACCTGGAAGTGACTGTTCCGGTTTGCAAACATGCTTTTGGAACCCAAATGTCCAATGGGGTTTCCGCAGCTTCTGATTGGCTGCAGAAGCTTCCTGCAGCCAATCAGAAGCCACAATTTGGTTTTCGAAAATTTTGGAAGTTGAATGGACTTCCGGAATGGATTCCATTCAACTTCCAAGGTGCAACTGTATAAACAATATTAAACCATAAAATACAATTTTATTTTTCAAAATAAAACAACCTAGAGTAAGATGGAAAATGTTTCTTTTTCTATATTTGTATAAATAATGTTTATTTTCAGCTGCACCACATGGTCCGTGGCAGTGGCGCAGCGTGGGGGGTGCAGGGGGGGCCGGCCGCACCGGGCGCAACATCTGGGGGGGGCGCGTGGAAGAGACTTGAGTGCTAAAATCCACAGGTTAGGGGGCGCAAATTACTTGCCTTGCCCCGGGTGCTGACAATCCACGCTACGCCACTGGTCCGTGGTAAATCTGGCATTGGAAAATGTCTGGGGTGTTTCCCTTCCCTTGATGCCTTAATTATGTGCTTAATATTTAATCCAGCCTCAAACTTCTGATTGTTCTCTCGTCTCTAAATGCACAAGCTTCTGCTGCCATTTAACTCCTTTTCTTCCTGTGATTTGGCTTTAGTGTGGACCAATGTTGTATATAGTCTGATTCTCTAACCTAGCAACGTAACTCAGTCGGTAGAACAAGAGACTCTTGATCTTAGAGTCCTGGGTTCAAGCCCCACATTGGGCAAAACGATTCCTGCATTGCAAGGAGTTAGACTAGATGATCCTTTGTGGTCACTTCCAACTCTACAATTCTGTGATTCTAAGAATCTGAGTGTGGTCAAAGTGGAGAACGTCCAATAATGGGCAAGGGCAAGCTGGTTAAGAACTCTTAACTCTCATGGGACTTTCTGGACTTTACTTTGCCCCATAAGAATTAATTCCATTCACATATATGGGATAAAATAAAGGAGGGCCCTTGATGAAACTGTTGACGAGGGCACTGGCCCTCTCCCCTCCAACCCTACCTAGGAGACTGTTGAAATCCTCATCATAGTTACTTTATATAGCTCGATCAGTATAGCAGTGCTCTACCATGTAACAAAAGCAAAAGGGCAGGTCCCTACATGAATAATTTTAGTCTAAATTTCAACACTCTGGCCAGAGTCAACAAAAGGAGAGGAGGGAAAGAAGGATAACTAGAGCAGGGCTCAGCAAACTTTTTCAGCGGGGGGCCGGTCCACTGTCCTTCAGACCTTGTGGGAGGCCGGACCATATTTGGGCGGGGGGGATAATGAACAAATTCCTATGCCCCACAAATAACCCAGAGATGCATTTTAAATAAAAGCACACATTCTACTCATGTAAAAACATGCTGATTCCCATACCACCAGTGGGCCAGATTTAGAAGGTGATTGGGCCGGATCCGGCCCCCAGACCTTAGTTTGCTTACCCATGAACTAGAGCAGTGTTTCCCAACCGGTGTTCCGCGGCACACTGGTGTGCCGTGAGACCTTGCCTGGTGTGCCGTGGGAGGGAGGCGGGAGAGGCGGGGCGGCGGCGGCATCTCCTGCTGGATGCAAATCCAAACATGGCGGGCGCCTCCCTCGCTCCTTTGTAGGCGGACCATCGAGAGAGAAAGAAAAGGAGGCGAAAGAGCGAGAGAAGGCGCCTGCGCGGAAAGAGGAGCGAGCAGTGCGCCTGCGCGCCGCGGCGCCCGAGATCGCTTCTCCCCACCGCCCCTTGCTTCAAAAGAGGTCCGGGGACAGCGGGAAGCGCTTCGCGCTGCCGCCGGACCTCTTTTGAAGCAAGGCTTTGCGGGGAGAAGCGATCTCCCCGCAGCCCCTTGCTTCAAAAGAGGTCCGGGGGCAGCGGGAAGCGCAGCGCTTCTTCCCCGCTGCCCCCGGACCTCTTTTGAAGCAAGGGGCTGCGGGGAGATCGCTTCTCCCGGTGCTCCGAAGCGGGGCGGGGGGGCGGGAACACCTGCCCCAGCCGCCCCGCTTCGGAACGCTGCTCCGAAGCGGGGCGGGGGGGCGGGAACCTTGCACCCCGCCGCCGGGCATCGGAACGATGCCCCGATGCCGGGCGGTGGGGTGGGGACCTCTCCCCCCGCCGCCGGGAATCGGAACGATGCCCCGATGCCGGGCGGTGGGGCGGGAACCTCTCCCCCGCCGCCCGGCATCGGAACGATGCCCCGATGCCGGGCGGTGGGGCGGGAACCTCGCACCCCGCCGCCGGGCATCGGAACGAGGTCCTGGACCTCTTCTGAAGGCAGGCGGGGGCAAAAGTCTTTGCTCCCCCCGCCTGCCTTCCCGGGACAGCGGAGACTTCTCCGCTGCCCCGGGCGATCTTAAAATGCTGGCGGGCGGGAGCGAAGCATTCGCTGCCGACCCCCAGCATTTTAAAATCTCCTTGGGGCAGCGGAGACTTCGCTCCCGCCCGCCAGCATTTTAAAATCGCCCCGGGACAGCAGGGGCTTTTAAAATGCTGGCGGTCGGCAGCAAAGCCCTCCTGTCCCCGGAGCTTGCGGGGCGGGAGGTGGGAAGAAGGGCTTTTCTTCCCACCGCCAGCCTTCAGAACAGCCTTCTGAAGGCTGGCAGTGGGAAGAAAAGCCCTTGTCCCCCCCCCCCCAGCCTTCAGAAGAGGTCGGGGGACAGTCTGTCCCCGGACCTGGTCTGAAGGCGGTTTCCCTAGGAACGCATTAATTGATTTTCAATGCATTCCTATGGGAAACCGTGCATCGCAAGACGAAAAACTCGCAAGACGAAGAGACTTGCGGAACGAATTAATTTCGTCTTGCAAGGCACCACTGTACTTTTTATATAGTCAATATAGGCACAGAGTTAAATTTTTTAACATTTTCTAATGGTGGTGTGCCTCGAGATTTTTTTCATGAAAGAAGTGTGCCTTTGCCCAAAAAGGTTGGGAAACACTGAACTAGAGGGAAGAAATTGTTGTTGTTATTTTAATTTCTTGTACTCTGCCCATGTGACTGAGTTGCCCATCCGCTCTGGGCGGCTTCCAACAGAATACAAAAGAATATTTATTAAATTTGAAAACTGCCCTTCATCCAACGATCACAGGGCACTTCACAACATAAAAATGGAAAATGAAACACAAAATACATAAAGTTACAAGGGACATTTGTGGTGTTAAATGTATTTACATTTCATTTCAATCTATTCTCCCAGTTCATGTTCCTCCCTCTCTCATCCATATTGGAGACTTCTGGAGGCAGTAATCTGGTGGTTTTGGTTAGTTTTTGTTTTACGTATGTTGATATTGTAAAACACATGTATATTGATGGGGCTTTGTAAAATATTTTATGAAGCAATCTTTCTTCATTTGTATCTTAAGAATCAACGTTGTCTTAGAAAAGTTCTGCGCTTGCTTATGTGCCCAAGGCCATAGTACTGAGTCTACTTTTGAGGCAGAACTTGAACTGATTTTAGCCAGCAATCTGCAGTTCAGCACCAGCTTCTGACTGGTTGCTTTCCCTTACTAAAGGTATTGCAACCTGGCACATAGATGGCCTGAAGCCTAAATGCTAGAATACGTCAGCTTTGTAAATGCCGGCAAGTGAAAAACCAAGTATCAGTGACTGAAATCAAAATTCAAGAGATGGGGAATCAATAAGTGATCCCTATCATGGCTCCACTGTGTCAGAAGTGCAAGCCAGTCAGCAAAGAACTGCTGTGCGCTCAAACACCCTTTCTTTTCTGCAGTTTACACTCCCATATG